TGTCTAATTTATTCCTATTACAATAATGCTTGCTGATGGTTTTAGGTAAATGCTGTTTTTGTCAGTTTTTTGTCTAATTTATTCCTATTACAATAATGCTTGCTGATGGTTTTAGGTAAATGCTGTTTTTGTCAGTTTAAGGAAAAATCCATTTATATTTATACTTTCAAGTCTTTTTTAATAGAAATGAGTATTGCACTTTATCAAAAGTTTTTTCTGCATATATTGATATCATATAATTTTTGTTACTTTTACTATTGATATACTCTTAGGAAAACAACCGTCCCCTTTATTTTTGCTTCTCTATTTTCATTTTGAGGCAATGTTCTGTCTGTTTGTGGAGGAAATTTGGAGAGCCTGGAATTTTCTGTCCTACTTCGCCATCTGCCCAGAATTCCTCCTCCTGTACAAATCTTTATGATGCATTTTAAATTTACTTTGGATGTTTCTAAGATTAAGCTTCCCTGCAAATACACACTTCTGCTGTTTTTTTATTGCCTTTCTCTGTTACACTTCCCTCTTTGTGCCCACTGGGACAGAGGTCCTAATTTTGTCCCAATACTATACTCCTAGTGTACTAATTCTGTCCTCTGAGTCCCCCTCCCCCCCCAAAAAAACCCAGCAACAGTGAGGAATTCAGAGAAAGGACAATTTTTTAAAAAAATTAAAGATATCCTTTAGTTTGGTCTATGATATATCATTTTAGTAAATTGATACTAGATTCTGAAAAGTAAAAGCAAATTTTTTTCTTTGAAGGTATGGCAGCTTGGTTCTTCCTCACCTAACTTTACTTTGGAGGGACATGAGAAGGGAGTAAACTGCATTGATTACTATAGTGGTGGTGACAAACCATACCTCATTTCAGGAGCAGACGACCGCCTTGTTAAAATATGGGACTACCAGGTAAAATTTTTTCATTACTTAAAATGCTTCAGATTTAATTAGTTCATTTTCAGTTTTTACTTAAATAGGAGGTTGAAACTTTGGCTTGTTCGATTTCATATTAGCATAACTTTGGGTTTGTATTTAAACCACTCACTTAGAAAAATCAAGTCATAGAATAAGACAAAAACCAAAGTATTTTTAAATGTAAGAAGTAAATGTATTTTTGCATTTTCTTTGAATCCGAAAAACAAAAAGATTAGCACTTTAATATGAGTGATCGTTTTCAGCTTTCATTGACCTCATGGGCAAACTTGCTTTTGAGAATAAGAATTGATAGAACAGAAGAATGGTTTTGTTATGTGGGCAGAGATAGTGTACTTTTCGTCATGCATGTCACTTCACTAGTCACTCAGTTGTGAACTTCATTTCCTTTTCTCTTTCTGCTTCTATGATTTCCTTAATCACACATCCATTTTCCAGCTGTCACATTGACAGAGATTCAGAAGTGATTAATGTGATGTGGCCTTAGATTACTAGTCTTAGGTTGTGAGCAGACTTAATATTCAGACTTATATTTAAATTTAATTATGTAAGTCCATGAGCTTACATATTAAAAATAACATTATGCTATTTTTAAGACAGCTCACTATAGGTATGTTAGTTTACAAAGGAAAGGTTTATTATCATAGGAATATAGATACTCAGATAGAAACAAAAATCTTTCTTTTGTGTGTGTGTGCCTCTTTAAATAGGTTGTTACTCCCTTTTGCTTTCAGTCATGGTATAGATTAGATTTTGTTTTAAGAGCTTTTGTATCACATATTTCTATGGACAGATCAGTTTTTTTTTCTATCCATAATATTACAGAATAAAACATGTGTGCAAACATTAGAAGGGCATGCTCAAAATGTGTCTTGCGCCAGTTTTCATCCTGAGCTGCCAATCATCATCACAGGTTCAGAAGATGGTAAGTTTAAAATACATATTTTTCCTGTCTTTCTATTATTAAATGGATATATAAAAGGAAAATGTTCCCGCATTGTGGTTGGTGCCTTGATATTTCATTACTGCCTCAGTATTTTTCACACAATAAGCACTTAATGAGCTTCTAAAATTTAATCACATTGAATTACACAATTCTTAGGTTATGGTTAAATTATAGTTTTGTTACATTTGGATTCAGCTGTAGGTAGAAGCAGGAGGCTGGCACTGATAAGGCCTAACTTTATCCATTCACTGCACATATGTATTAATGTCTCTTGTGTACTAGGCACTGTGGGTAACACAAAGAATAAAAAATAATCTCTATTCTCTTGTATTTTGCTTTCTAATATTTCAGTAAATTCTATTATTTGATCAAATGTATGTCTTCTAGTGTTGCAAATTGCAACCTATCTATACTTGCTCATATTATATGACTCATGTTCTTGTCTTTTCATAAGTCAACATTCTGGGAGATATACTCTAGTTCTTTTGACATTCTTTGGATACCAATGGAACACATGGCTCGCTTATCAGTTCTCTCTCATTGTTGCTGCCTGACCTAGCCAATTTTTTTCCATTCATATATTTATCAAATAACGTCCAAATACGCTATGTTGGGGAGATAAAACAAGTATTATGTAAGATATAATCTGAAAATAGAGTAAGGGAGGTATAAACATTAGAGAAGGGAAAGATTGCTTCTGAAATTGAGGACAGCAGATTTCGTGGAAGAGAAAGCATTTGAGTCAGACCTTGAGGAATGAATAGGAATTAAAATCCTTTAGGAGGAAGTGAAAAGTGTGAGCAATACCATTGAGTTAGGGAACTGCAGGGCATTTTGAGCAATAGCAAGTACAGTTAAACTGAGCATAGGTCACATTAAAAGTAAGAAAGAAAAAGTTTGAAAGATAGGTTGGATCCAGATTATAGTGGACCTTGAATGCCAGACAAAGGAGTATTGACTTTATTTATATGGGTAGTAATTGAGGAACCATTGTGGTTTTCATTAAGGTTGTATGTGATATATTCAGAACTATACTTTAGGAAGATGAATTTGACAGTAGTCTAGGGTAAATTAGAGGGTACAGGGAAACTAGTTGGACTCCTTCATCAGTTTAAGCTAGAGGTAATAAGAACTTGAACTGAGGTGGAACCTTGGATAATGGAGAAGAGGACAAATGCAAGAGAAATCATGAAAAAAGGACTTAGGTCATTATTGAATGTGTGGGATGAGAGAGAGGAAGGAGTCAAAGATGAATAATAGAATCATAAAATCTTGGAGTTAAAAGTTCAGATACCCACTTCAAACTCAAATCTTCAAACCAGTGACATAGCCCATCTCTTTATGAAGACCTTCAGTGATGAGAACCGATTCCCTTGTTAAGTCTACTCATTCTATTTTTGGTCAGCTCTAATTAGAGCCAATTTCCTATATATTAAGCTGAAATTTGCCTTCCTGTACTTTCTGCCCATTGATCCTGGTTTTACCATCTAGGGTAAAGTAAATTGTCTTAATTCTTGTCCAATTCTAATTGACAACTCTTGAAATATTTGAGGACAGCAGTTGTGTTCTATCCCCTCTTTCCTTCACTTTTTCCAGTCTAAACATTTCTTGCTCTTTGAGCTTGTCCTCATATGTCATGATTTACAGCCTACTCACCATCCTGTACCCTGCAGGGTGCCCTTCTGCTTCCCTAGGTCTTTCTTAAAATTCAGTATCCAGAACTGGATATAATTTCAGATGTGGTTCAACCCAGACGTAGTGTGGCAGGATGAGCCTTCCCTTTGTTTTAGACATTGGACTTTTAACATACTAAAAGTAAATAAAGCTAGGACAGTTTGTTTTTTAAAAGACCTCTAAGAAATTGCATACTTTTTGTTTTATATAGAAACTTGCTCCTTACAAGTATAGTATTATTACCAGTTTCCATCTCTTCTTTGAATACAAGTCCTCATTCTTTTTGATTTAAACTTAGTTGGTAAACACTTTTCATTAATTTAATAAATATATTTTGTGCCCAAGTACTCTATAATGAAGTTAGTCCAACCTCACTTTTTTTTTTTTTTTTTGGTGAGGCAATCGGGGTTAAGGAATCTTCCTGTGTGACTTGCCCAAGGTCACACAGCTAGTAAATGTCATGTGTCTGAGGTCGGATTTGAGCGCAGGTCCCCCCGACTCCAAGGCTGGAGCTTTATCCACTGCACCACTTAGCTGCCCCAATCAACCTTACTTTTCTGAGCTTCCTTTGCCTTAGCTAAATAAACTATTTAGCTTCTGGTTGTTTGGAATATAGATTTGCCTAGGCTTCAAGGAATGTCAGGCATAAATGCTTTTGGCTTCAGATTAAAAGTAGAGAAAGTAAAGTGAGGATTACAGTATACTTAGAGAAACTTTTGGCTTTACCACAATTACCTGCATAATTTCAATTTTGAATATGTTGAATTTGATATGCCAGTGAGACATCTAGGTAAAGGTTATCAGTGACACTTGGAAATGTTGCCTGGTTCTCAGGAGAGAAATTGAGACTGGAGATGTAGATTTGGAGTCATCCACATAGTGGTAGTAATTGAAAATATAAGGGTGGATAAGATTATCAAGTGAAAATGTAGAGAAAGAAGAGAGCCAAGTTTACTAAACCTTTGAGAATTCCAGCATTTAATAGGATGTGAGGAGTAAAAGAATCCAACAGGGATGACTTAAGGAGTGGTCAGAGATGTTGAAGGAGAACTGCAATTACAGAAGCCAAGGAAAGAGAATTTCAAGAAAAAAGGATGTCAGCAGTGTCATAGATCAAGGGATGAGGAGTGATTGGCTGTGTTGAGTTGCCCTTGGAACCTTTCTCACACTGATGATTACATTGATTTCTCAGTTAATCATTTTCTAGGTTGCTAATTTTATGTAAAATTTCTGGTAGTGTTGTCTCTTATTTGCCTGTATTTTTAAAACAACTTATAAAATATATCCAAAAAATCTAGTTATTAAGATACTAGGAAATGATTCTTTTATGTATTGAGAGATTTGTGTATGTGTGTGTGCTACTGACCGATGCATGAAGATTTATATTGAATATTTAATTCAAAACTAATTACTTCATGTTTATTTTCAGGCACAGTTCGTATTTGGCATTCAAGCACCTACCGTCTGGAAAGCACATTAAACTATGGAATGGAGAGAGTGTGGTGTGTGGCCAGTCTGAGGGGGTCCAATAATGTTGCTTTGGGATATGATGAAGGCAGTATCATTGTTAAGGTATTCTTTTGTAATTATTCCATGTAAGTCACTAAACTTAGGGAGAAGCAGTTATCTTTTTTTTCCTTTTAATTATGATAGTTTTCCAACTCACTAACTTTGTTTAAATAGCGTTACTTCCATTAAACACTAAAATCTTAATATGGAGGAAAGGAAATGAAGCACTCTGTTAAATGGGAAAAGAAATGAATGTTGTCTTTCACTTTTTGCTACTAAGATTCACTTGTTATTCTTCTAGCTTGGCCGAGAGGAACCTGCTATGTCCATGGATGCCAATGGAAAGATTATTTGGGCAAAGCACTCTGAAGTCCAACAGGCCAATCTGAAAGCAATGGGAGATGCTGAAATTAAAGATGGAGAGAGATTGCCCCTTGCAGTAAAAGACATGGGAAGCTGTGAAATATATCCTCAGACTATTCAGCATAACCCGAATGGAAGGTAAAACCTATCTGCAATCTTTCTTCAAATTTCTACAGAGTTATGCCATGTGATATATCAATGTGATAAGAAAATGCATCTTATGAAAATATTTTGTGCTTGTTCATTTGCTTTGAGTTTGGGATCTTAACTTCTCTTTTTTTTTACTGTAATTTGGAGTTAGACAAATTCAGAGCAGCATAAAATGCTCATTGTAATAATTCTTCATTTTGAAGAATGAAGTACACAGTTGTCTTTAAATATTTTTGAGCATTTCATTACAGCATTACCAAAAGATCATATTATAAAAACAAAATGTGGACACACATTTTGGATACACATTTTGTTTTTATAATATGATCTTTTGGTAATGGGATTTTCAACTTAAAAATCATTTCTTAAAGAGTGTGTTTTCTTGTTTTTTGAGAATAAGTCTATTTGAACATACCATATTCTGAATAATATTTTACAAAATTTTCATTTGCAAATATAATTTCAAAAATTCTGATTTTTAGTCATACATTTAGAAGTTCCCTAGACACAACATAACCCTAAGTATCCTATATATACTTAGTAAATACTGATTTAATTTAGTTGATCATTCTTTTGTTCCATTTGATCTGTTGCCTTCTTCCTTTTCTTCCTGGGTGGGAAGAACAGAGTTCCTATAGTAAAATTTTATGACCGTCAGCTGCCTAGCTGTGCACTTAGGTTTGTTGTTGGGTTGGTTAAAAAAGAAAAAAGAAGTTTGTTAATGTCCCCTAGCAGTTTTAAGATGGCAGAAAATAAAACTAAATTGTAACTGAAAGACCAGAGTCAATCAATAAGCATTTATTAAGTGCTTAAAATTAACCAGGCACTATTCTGTTAACTCAGAATAAAAAGAAAGGCAAAAATAGTCTCTGCCCTCAAAGTACTTACATTCTAAGGAGATTGGGAGTGAAGTTACCACACACCTAAAAGTAGGTAAATACAAGGTAACTTTCTATATATAGTAAATGAAAGGTAACCTTAGAAGGGAAGACTTAGTAGCTGGGGGGAGGGGGGGGACCAGGAAAGGCCCCTGCAGCAGGAGCCATTTCAAAAGGTGGAGGTGAAGAGGGAGAGCACTCCAGGCGTGGGAGGCCACCAGGGTAGAGAACCAGGGATGACGGCAGTGGAGTATGATGTGTGAGGAACAGCCAGCTGGTGGGCCAAGGTGGCTGGATTGTTGAAGGTGTACTAGAGAATGAGAAGACTAGAAAGGCAAGAAGGGATCACATTGTGAAGAGCTTTAAATGCCGGAAAAGTAGATTTGATCACATGTTGGTTTCTTTTTTTACAGAGTAAATCTTTTGTTATAACACCTGACTATTATCTTTATTGACTTCTTTAATTCCTAGATTTGTTGTGGTGTGTGGTGATGGTGAATATATCATCTATACGGCAATGGCGCTGAGAAACAAGAGCTTTGGTTCGGCCCAGGAGTTTGCCTGGGCTCATGATTCTTCAGAGTAAGTTCTAGCATTGTAAGGTACACTGACTAGTTGCTTCTGTTCTGACTGTTATACTTAGAAGTTCTATGAGGCCCCTTTCGTGACCTGCATCATTTTCCATGAAGATGATTTATTATTTGTACCTCGTAATCACATGCATACGCATATGCAGACACACAGATGCATGCATATAGCACGCTTTTTCAGTCAAAGAACTTCTTACTGTAAAATTTAAAAAATGGTTGCCATCTGTGTCAGTAAAGCCTTGGGCTGTGGAGACTGTGTGCATTTAATTTCTAGCCATTCTGATCATTCTTCACCAAATAAACTGAGTTCCTTTACTTTGTTGATGGGAACTGGAGTCTTCGAATGGTTCTCTGATGTTGTCTTGGCTCAGTCCTAGCTTCTGGAGTGTTCTTCTTGACAGCTCCCTTCTTCACAAGCTATTCAGCTTCCTAAGGGAGGGAAGAAAAGAGGGAAGGGAGAAGGGAAAAGCATTTATATAACACCTACTATGTGCCACACACTGTGCTAATCACTTTGTCTCCAGGATTAATTGTTTTTCCCTTATTCTATATTAAATTCAAATTGGTTTTAAAAAATTTCAGATGTGTACTTTAAAAAATCAATAAAGAAAAACTTTTAATAGCTGCAGTGTTGATGATGATGATGATGAAGATCAGTTGTTTTCAGCTGTATTCAATTTTTTGTGACCCCGTCTTGTGTTTTATTGGCAAAGATACTGGAATGATTTGCCATTTCCTTCTCCAACTCATTTTACACATGAGAAAATTGAGGCAAACAGGGTTAAGTGACATATCCAGGGTCACACAGCTAGTATACGTCTGAGGCCAGATTTGAGCTCAGTGAGATGAGACTTCCTGGCTCTAGTCTTGGCACTTGATCCACTGTGCCACTTAGCTGTCACAGTAATGTAAGATTCAGTCTTAATTTAGTTTACCAGATAGTTGTATCAGATAGTACAAATTAGTTCATGTTAATTATTTTACAAATCTAAAATCTTGAGAATTTTTTTTCTATTATCTGAAAGTATTTTTAAGAGATATGAGCTTTTCCATTTCTCATAGCTGTGGTGCCAGTTCTTCGTAAACCTTGTAGCTCTCCATTTCTTAATATGACCTATTCAGATTTAAAATTTTTATTTTATTTTACTTTTTTTTTATTAACAAGTTTTTATTTCTTCTTCATCTCAATTAGGAGGAAAAAAATCCCAAAATCTTTATTACATATGCATAGTCAAGCAAATTCCCACATTAGCCATGTCCAAAAATATATGTTTTAGTCTGTATCTTATGTCTATCTCCTCTGTCAAGAGGTGGATAGCATGCTTCATCATTGGTCCATCATTGTGGATTTGTGGTTGGTCTTTGAATTGGTCAGAATTTTTTGGCCTTATAAATTTGTTTTTATGTGTTGTATTTACTGTGTAATTGTTTTCCTGGTCTATGCACTTGATGATGCATCAGTTCATATAAGTCTTCCCAGATATCTATAAAACTATAAAACTTATAGCACAATAGTATTCTATTATATTAATATACCATAATTTGTTCAGCTTTCCCCCACTTGATAGGCTTCTCTTTAATTTCTAGTTCTTTACCACTACAAAATGCTGCTATAAATATTTTTGTACATATGGATCCATTTCTTCTTGCTTTGATCTCTTAATAGGTATAACCTGGAGTAGTATTGCTTGGTCAAAGGATGTGTACAGTTCAGTGACTTTTTGAGAATAGTCCAAAATTGCTTTCCAGGATGGCTGTATAAATTCACAGCTCCAACAGTGCATTCATGTGCCTTTTTTCCTGTAGCCTTTCTACCTGTGCAGCTTTCAACACCTTTTTACCCATAAGGAAGGCTATTTTTTTGTTTGTTTGTTTGTTTGTTTTGCTTAGACAGTGGGGTTAAGTGACTTGCCCAGGGTCACACAGCTAGTAAGTGTTATGTGTCTGAGGCCAAATTTGAAGTTGGGTCCTCCTGAATTCAGAGCCAGTGCTCTATCCACTGCGCCACCTAGCTACCGGGAAAGCTATTTTTAAAAGTATATTTATAAACCTTATCTATAACATACAGCAAGCCTACCAACTCCTTTTTAGGGCATAGACATGAATAGTAAAGGAGCTTTCTTTTGCTATCTGACATAATTGGCAAAAAAGAAATTTGGCATAAAGCTTTCTATAACATTTTTAAAAATTCTTGCTTATATGTGCAGCATTAGACAACATAAAATCCACCCATTCCCATATTAAGAGTATAGCTATTTATCAAAGTATATAAATAGCTGAATATTCTCTCTAGCAAACAAAATACATACATATGGTTTAGAAATATTTCTGATATTTTATGTGGGCAATTTGCACTAAGAGGAGCTGAACTCTTAAGTTACTTTTTTTTTAAATTTCCCCCTCCAGGTATGCAATAAGAGAAAGCAATAGTGTGGTAAAGATATTTAAGAACTTTAAAGAAAAGAAATCATTTAAGCCTGATTTTGGAGCTGAAGGTGAGTGTTGTTTGTGTACTATAGATACATCTTTTATTTTTCTGGAGAACTTACCCATTAAATTAAAAAAAAAAACTTGTTTTGTTCTTTGTAGGTATCTATGGAGGTTTCTTATTGGGAGTCAGATCTGTAAATGGCTTAGCATTCTATGACTGGGAAAACACAGAACTGATCCGCAGAATTGAAATTCAGCCCAAACATGTAAGTTTTACTTTAGTTGCTACTTTTTGAAACATTTATCTTTGTAGCAACTCTGTGAGCCTTTTGAGCATAAGGAATATCTTCATATGTATATTTAGCTCTTTCCTATTGGGGATAGCACAGTGCTATGTACCCTGGGGTTGTTCAGTAAGTACTGCTAATGATGATAAAATAAAATGTGGATTTTGAAAGAATTTTGAAAAGTATAAAATGGCATAAAATACAAGACGTTATTCACATTATGAAATATCTTCATTTATTTTTATGAATTTCTTTTTAAATAAATTGTATACTTAGAGATATTACAGGATCATAGAACTTAGAGGTGGAAGGGAGGCTTTCTAGTCTAGAGATGGCAAACATGCAGTCTGTGGGCCATATACAATCCACAGTACTCCTGAGTGGCCCAAACCAAATTAAAATGTAATTGAGAAATATTTAACAAAATAAATAATAATACAGTAAAGCATAGGTAATATTACATTTTAAAACTAAGTCAATATGCAACACACAAGAATCCTTATGTTCAGATTAATGGCCCATTTCTATTCTATTTGATTTTGACACCAGTGATGTAGTCCACTCCCCAATGTGATTCAAAATCCATATCCATTTAGCCTCTACTTGCTTTCTTGCAGGGATCACCAAATATTGCAGTGCACTGTTTTGTTGGGCAGCTTTAATTGTTAAAAGGATGTTTGTTAAATCAAGAAATAGTCTGCCTCCTTGTATTTCCACCTATTGATCTTAGTTTTGACTTTTCAGATAACACAAAAATAAGCATATTTCCTTTTTTGTATAAGAGACTTCCATTTAAAGGTAGCTGTCATTTCTCTTCTTAATTGTCTTTTTTTTTTTTAATTAAAGGCAATTGGGGTTAAGTGACTTGCCCAGGGTCTCATAGCTAGTAAGTATCTGAGGCTGGATTTGAACACTGGTCTTCTTGACTCTAGGGCTGTTGCTTTGTGCACTGTGCCACCTAGCTGCCCCCAGTTGTCTTTTCTCTAGGCTAAACAATACTTTACTTCTCCTACCCCTGCCACTAAACTCCAATTATTCAAGCTTTTAAAATATCAACTAGAGAGGATTTATTTCAGAATCTTCAAGTGTAAGGGTTTTTTTTTTTTTAAAGAATTAATATGTGCAATCAGTTGCTTCTATACACAACTCCATAATCATTTTTTATTTTGTAGATCTTTTGGTCTGACTCTGGTGAGCTGGTCTGCATTGCCACTGAGGAATCATTTTTTATCCTTAAATATCTGTCTGAAAAAGTTTTAGCTGCACAGGAAACACATGAAGGAGTTACGGAAGATGGCATTGAAGATGCCTTTGAGGTAATTCTAGTTAAAATTGGGATGAGGCTAATAATAGAAATAGTTACATTTTTAAAATGTTGTAGATTCTTGTAATAAAACCAGCCGTAGGTGTTTTTAGTATAAACTTCGTAAAGTAAGCTGTTGGCTTAAGGATTGGGTTTTTTAAAGTACCTGTATCTAAAAAGAAACTCGGGAGACTTTGAAATAAGAGGTTTTGTACTAATTCTTATGTTTTGCAATTGGATAATTTGAAATAATTTTGATTTTAAAAGGACATATTGCTGTAATAACTTGGATACATACAAAATAATGTGGGCAAAACAGTGCTAGACTCAGGGTTGTAACAAACCTAGAAAGTTGTCTCACCCAACCCTCACCTGAGCAGAAATCCCTTCTACATCATTCTTGACAAATTCTCACATAGTCTTTGGTTGAAGAACTCTAATCCTAGGGAAATCTTTTAAGACAGATCTTTCCATTTTTGTACAGTTCTAATTGTTACGGTTTTTTTTTAATATCAAGCTAATAATTTCTGTACACTTCCATAGCAACCATACACTGCTCATAATTCTGCTTTCTAGAGCCAATAAACAAGTTTAATCCCTCTTGTATGTGACTTCCATTTACATACTTGAATCACAGAGTCTTAATATCAGAGAGGACCTCAGAGGCCATTTAAGCCAAATTGTTCCTCAACAAGAATCCTCTCTGCAGCATATAAATGGTTATCCTCCCTTTGCTGTTAGGAACTCACTTCTTCCAGGGGACAATACTTTTTGACAGGTCTAGTTGCTAGGAAGCTTTTCTTTATGTCAAACCTAAATTTGACATTGCTACTTCTACTTGTTTTTCCTATTTTGACTTAACAACCTTTCATTAAAAAAGTGAAGAGGGCTTAGTGAGGTATTGAAGACTATGGATGGAAAGACAGTGGGTTTTTCAATAAGCTTTTCATAGAAGAACTATTCTAATTTCTTGTAAATTGTTCATTTAAGTCATAACCTTGTCCAGACAACCTTAAAAATCATACTTTGCAAGAATTAATTGTTAACAAAAATGAAGGAATAAGAGTAGAAACTAGGAATGCCATGACATTTGAAATACTGATTTCTTGAAGTGCTTATTTTCATCTCATTGTTAAACATGCTTATGATAAACTGTTGGCTTTGGTTGTATTGGGGTGCCTGGTTTTTTGTCAGCTTGTCAGTATTTCTAGTGTTTGATGTAATGATTTGATTTATTTTTCTTCTTCAGGTCCTTGGTGAGATTCAGGAGATTGTCAAAACAGGGCTGTGGGTAGGCGATTGCTTTATTTACACAAGTTCTGTAAACCGATTAAACTATTACGTTGGAGGAGAAATAGTCACCATTGCCCACTTGGACAGGTAACTGTTCTAGTGCTTCTGCTTGCCTTTATGTCTTAAGCAGCATGGATCTGTTTTTAAAGCTTAGTGTTTAAATACAACTTTTCATTGACTTTGCCATGTACTAGTTCCTTTCTTGATTTTTCACATCAGGAGGAACATAGTTTTTAAAAATTTTGTGACTTGGCTACTGTCTTAATTAGTTTTGATTAAATAAACAAAGTTATTTTGAATTACAGGTGTTTTTAAAGAGTTAAATTGATAACTATTTTTGTTTTAGGACAATGTACCTGCTGGGTTATATTCCTAAGGACAACAGACTTTATCTGGGTGATAAGGAGCTAAACATTGTTAGTTACTCCTTGTTGGTGTCGGTGTTAGAATACCAGACAGCTGTAATGAGGAGAGACTTTAGCATGGCTGACAAAGTCCTCCCTACCATTCCAAAAGAACAGAGGACCAGAGTTGCCCACTTCCTGGAAAAACAGGCAAGGATATCTTATTTATTTATGAAATACAAGGATGCCAATATCAGTGTGGTAGAACTTGAGCTCCTTGCAGGCAGATAGTTTCAGTTTTCCAGCCTGCCCCACAGTTTTACATTTAAGTGCTTTAAAAATGTTGAATTCATGGATATGCAAAAATTTATTTCATTACTACTTTTTATAAATACATTAGAATAATTCTAAAAACAGTTAATTTTTTTCTGTAAACTTAAGCCATTTCTGTAGTCCTTGCACCAGAACACATTCAATAACAGTAGGATGGTAATCTTTCTCTCTTTTTTCCTTGCCTTCTAATTAAAATGCTAAGATCTTTTATTCAATTCTTTATCTTATATTATTATCTTTTTCTATTCTGTTGCTATGATTTTTATCTCTCCTTTATGTTTTCCTTTTTTAAATAAATGCATCTAGTTTATAAATGCTGATTTCTGTTTTATCCTCTAGGCTGGCATCTTACATAGTCAACCAATAATGGCTTTAGAAGGATGCAGTGAATCAGATAATTCACCATAAAAAACCCACCCCAAAGCATAAATTCATTTATATTTAGCTTTAGAGTGTGTTTTTGTTCTTATATTTGAATACAAGTGTGCTTTTCCTTTCAATTCGTAGCATAGCCCAAATAATGAAGCAACTCTGAAGACTCTAATGAAGGAAAAACTAGAAAATTGTTCTGATTCCCCATCATGGCTACTTGGACAGCTGCCTATCTTATATCCTTAGGATACCATCAGACATAAGCCTGACCAGAGTTGGCCTTACTCTGTCTTAGGCTCCTTAGGGATAAAGCACAGTGCTAAACACTTAAGAATATAAATAATTGTTGTTTTGTGGGCTGTGGAAACTAATTAGGCATTTTCTTTAAAAAAGTCCTTTCCTGTTAGCTGAGGCTAGTATATAACTCTGCCCTTTAGACTACCTGACGTAAATTGAAAGGTGTAATGTCAACAGGAGATTTCAACAGAGTAGGTGATGTTCCTTGATTATTGTAAGGTGGTTAAAGCAAAATTTACTGCAGATAATTGAAGGGAAATTGCACATATTTTCTTTGTTTTTTCCATTCTCTGCCACCAATGGCCTATGTGTTCTTGAGCTAATCATTTAATTTTTCTGGGGTTCGTTTTCGTTATGTACAAAACAAGAGGGTTTGACTGGCTGGCTAAAGTGTTTCTCAACCCTACCTGGACCATAGGCAGCTAAGATGTTCAAATTCTCTACGTGTACCAGTTCACTCTCTACAACCTCCACCCTACCTCAGCACCTGCATAATAAAGGTTTGGGATACAGGAATTAAGGAAGAAGAAGGAAACCTGGGGGCAAAAGAAAGGGATATGGGAAAGAGTGTTTTGTTTTGTTTTGTTTCATTTTAAGGTTGCATAACACAAGTCTAGATTGCCTTTCCATTACTGTGCTGCCTTTCCAACTACTGTGCCACCTTTGCCATTTTTCTTGTTGATTTTAATTGCTTTTTTAAAAATTCCCATTTCTGTTTTTTGCCTTATTTTTTAATTATTGTACCCTTCTGTGATATCTCATTTTGATGATTGGTATTTTGTGTTATATTTGTAAAAAGAGTGGCTGTTAGTCAGTACCTAGTATCACACAAAAAGTGATTTTGATGCTTTGTATTCCCTATTCTTTTTTTTTTAGTTTTGAACATTCACTTCCATAAGATTTTGAGTTTTAAATTTTCTCCCCTTCCCCCTCCCCAAGATGGCATGTAGTCTGATATAGTCTCTACATATACATTCATATTAAACATATTTTCACATTAGTCATGCTGTAAAGAAGAATTAGAATCAATGGTAGAAACCACTAGGATATCTATTCTTTAGAAGGATTGGAGTTTCTGAATTTTTAGGAAAAATTAATGATGTCAGATTTTACAGATTTCTTTGGTCTTTCATTGGTCCAGGGTTTCAAGCAGCAAGCTCTTGCAGTATCCACAGATCCTGAGCATCGATTTGAGTTGGCTCTTCAGCTTGGAGAGTTGAAAATTGCATACCAGTTGGCAGTAGAAGCAGAGGTAAATATAAATTGTTCTTGATTTACATTTTTATTAATTGTTCAAGTTTTCTGTTTTGTGATTTAGACTGACCCATAGTTTCTGAAGGTAATTTCCATTTTTAAAAATTGTACATAAGATTGTACATATCTGTATAAAGTAGGTATATTACTCTATTTGTTAAAGCTTTCTGATCTGTAAACAAAACTTTACTCAAATATTCTAATGGATCTATAATCCTCTTGATTTGGAAGTTAACCTCCAATGATACAGATTGCAACCCATCCATGCCCCAGCCTGTGACTCATCCATATCCTCCCATAAATTTATCTCAAGAGATCCATCCAATCTGCTAGAAGCCTTCCTTGCTTTCTTTTAGAATTAAAAACTTTTTTATTCTGAGTGTAAAATTGAAAAAAAAAGAGCATTTCCATAGACACAGCAATATACAAAAAGTGGATTCTATATAAAACTCCTATGTAATCTCCTTTTTTGTTTTAAAAAAAAACAGGATATAATAAATTCAACATGTTACTTTCAAAACTTGCTTGTTTGTGCCTCCTTCTGAACAGCCTTTTATTCTGTTGTCTTCTGTATAATTTAAAAATGTTTCAGTGGTTCTCTTTTTTGGGATCATTGTTCTTAACCTCCTCCATCTGTATTGAAAATAAAGACAGGTTTGAGGGGGAGAATTTTGTAACAAATAAACATGGTCATGAAAAACAAATATACACTGTGGATATATCCAAAAATGTATGTCTCTTTCTGCCCCTTCATTTCATCATCCTTCTGTCAGGAGGTGGGTAACATGCATATATATAGGGTCTCTGGAGACGAGATTGGTCATGGTGTTGATCTGAGTTCTTAAGTCTTACACAGTTATTTTTCTTTACAGTGTTGTTGTCCTTGTATAATTTGTTCTCCAGGTTCTACTCCTTCTATTTTGTATCAGGTCATACTGCCCAGGATTCTATGAAAACACTTTTTTTGTCATTTTTATAGAGAAATAATAGTCCATTACATTCATATAGATACATTATATTTATATTCCATTGATATACATATCCACTTTGTTCAGCCATCCCTAGATGATTGGTACCCATTTAGTTTCCAGTTCCTACTGCCCCTTTTAATCTCCCTTTAGGTCAGGAAGTTTGTTTTGTCTCCTTTTTAATTTCATCTCTCCCTGTCCCTGCTTGTTTCCCTGTTGTTTGATGGCATTTCTACGCTAAACTCTTTATGTATAGCTGTGTTTGTTCAACCCTCCTTTTACTAGTTCAGATATTAGAATGTCAGCATTGCATCATCTTAAAACCACTTTCAATAATAGTTCATATACATTTCTCTTTTTAGGTTTCTTTTGACTCTTGTGTTTTCATCTCAAGAGTTCTTACTCAGCTCAGGTATTTTCATCAAGAATGTTTGAAAGTCCTTTATTCCATTAAAGGTCTGTTTTTCCTCTGATAGACTTATAATCAGTTTTGTAGGGCAAATTATTCTGGCTTATTAGCCTGTATCTTTTCCCTTTTGGAATACTGTACTCCAAGATCTCTAGTTTTTAGAAGAAACTGCCAGATCTTAGTTGAGCCTGAGTATGCGTCCTTGGAATTTGAACTCCTTCTTTCTGGCTATTTGCAGTATTTTTTTTCTTTGATTTCAAAGCTCTCGCTTTTCTGAGATGACATTCCTGGAACTTTTCCTATTGGGGTTCATTTCAAGAGGAGATTGATGGATTCTTTCTATCTACCCCTTAGTTCTAGTATATCTGAGCAGTTTTCATTTATGATTACTTGAAATATAGTGTCCATATTTTTGTTTTTAAAATGTTGATTTTGGGGAAGTCCAGCAATTTTGAAATTATCTTTCCTTGATCTGTTTTCCAGGTCAGTTTTTGATAATGGATAGCCTACATTTTTATTTCAGTCACTTTCTTTTGTTCTGATATTTCTTGTCATCATTTGTTTGGTCCATTATAATTATTAGGGATTTCATTATTTGGGTAATAATAATAGCTAGTATTTATAAAGCATTTTAAGGCCTTCAGAGTGCTTTACAGATATTAATTCTATTTTATCATCACAACAACCCTGGGAGAGAGGTGCTATTATCATTCTCATTTTACATATGAGGAAACTGAGGCACACCAAGAGGTTAAGTGACTTGCCTAGGATCACACAGCTAGTGTCAGAAGTCATATCTGAATCCACATCTTCCTGACTCTAGGGTCCAGTGCTCTGTTTGTGCCATCTAGGTGCTAGATAAGGTTCAGGGTAAAGTTTACTGCTTTCTGTTTTAAGCTGTATATTCTCCTTCCATTGTTTTCCTCCAGAGGTTTTATTTCATTTTTATCTATTGTTTCATTTCTTCTAGATATTCATGTAATTTCTATGTAAAAATCCATTAATTTCCTTTGAATCTCTGCTTATAGTTAATATGGAGTTAATTCCTTCTAGGTTGGATTTTTGGTTATCTCTATAATCTACAATAATTTTTTTATTGTGTTGGTTATTTTTGGTTTGCTCAATTCTTCCAGTCATAGTTTCCTGATTGGGGCATCATGAGAAGGACAGGCTCTGCCTCCTGCTGTGCCTTTGGGTGGAGAGGTCAGCCCTGTTGGTCTTGTTTCCTAAACTGACCTCTATTTCTTGGCTCTTCTCTCTTTGAAATTCAGTGTGCTAGATCTTTAAGGCCCTCGTTGTCATCACAGGACTGCAGAGTGCTAGGGCCCTCAGAGCCCCTGGGACTAGAGTGGCCTTATCTGAGTACCATTGGGTGACACTAGGGGCTGTAGCTCCAAGTCCCTTCCAGAGTCCCTGCTGTGGATTTCTGAACCCCTCAGGATCTTCTCTGTGGAGCCTTCCCTCTCACTGTCTCCAGATACAAATCCTTACAGGCTACATGTATTCCATGGCCATTGGAAGGCCATCAGTTTATTTGCCTTAGGACAGGTATAGGCTTTGCTGACAGGGCCACTTATTGTCTGTGAACTCTAGGCTGATATTTTTGTGCAGTTCTAGGATGGAATAAATCATCAGTTTCTCGTTGGATTTTTTAATCATTATTCAGTCAGGTGTAATTTTTTTCAATTTTTCCTGAAGTCATTTTGTTGGTCTGCATTGCCTGCTTTCATTCAGATAGCCATTTTGGCCAGAAACCCACCTTCCTTGCTTTCTTCTGAGTACCAGTGTGCCACCAGGTTGGCTGTCTACCTGTCAGATCTTGCCACATGACGAACCTATCTTTTCTATCATGAAATTCTTTATGGACATCTTTTATTTCTGTTCTCTTTAAGAGTTCCTCATCACTTAGTGTGCTCATACCCACCTTTCCACTGCTCTCTTTGTGATTTTTAATTCTTCAGGGACTGATGTATTCTCTGTCTCATTGATAGGAACATTGATAGAATGTTTTGTTTTGTTTTTTTTAAAAGAATTTAACAATTAAATACATGTCTGGGTTCAAGTTTTTTGGAAGGGAAGATATAGTGCAAAGAACACTGGATCTTAGAGTCAGGAGACCTGAGTTTGAGTTTCAGCTCTGATTCCTACTGAGCAAATAATTTAACATCTCAGAGCTTCAGTTTTCTCTTCTGCAAAATGAGGATTTTACTGCCCCCTCCACCTTTAAAGTGGGAATAATTAGATCGCTTGCCTTACAGTTTGAGTGAAGCACTCTGTCAATCTTCCAAGTTTTGTGTAAATATGAGTTATTATTTTTGACCATTTGGCATTTCTGCTCCAAAGTTAGAAAGATATTATATTGAAATATAGTAGTTCCTGACATTTTGAAGGAGAGTTTAGTTACTTTTATATGCCTTCATAGCTGCATTTAGTGTTGTTGGGTGTTTCTAAATCTGGTTAAATTATTTGGTTAATGAGTAAGTGTACTTTTTTAGATGTGATAGAAAGTTTTAGATATTTATTAAGATCCTCCCATGTACAAAATTGGATTTGATTTCTATAATCCTTTATGACCAGAAGAATGATGGAAACCTGTTGTTCCAAGTTAAATATTTAAGACTATAATAAATAGTTCAATTAAAAGAAATAACTTTACATTGAATGTTTAAGCTATTGCCATCCAATTACTTAGGAAATTCTGTTAAATGACTTTTCCTTTTCTTCTGAGTAATTACAAATAAAAATAGGGTGTTGATTATTTATATATCAATACATTTATTTTGCATATTTGAATGAATTTTATGTACATGAATACTTTTATTATATATTTTAGCTTAATTATTCTTCAGAACAATATAGCTAGCTCAACAAACAGAATTCAAAGTATATACAAATTCATCTTCATTCCCATTATAGATTAATAGATCACTGTTAAGGTAGCAAGATAAATATTTTTTTCTAAAGGCAATGTCTTTTCCTTGCAGTCAGAACAGAAATGGAAACAACTTGCTGAACTTGCCATTAGTAAATGCCAATTTGGCTTAGCCCAGGAGTGTCTGCATCATGCACAAGATTATGGGGGTCTGTTGCTTTTGGCCACTGCATCAGGAAATGCTAGTATGGTGAATAAACTAGCAGAGGGTGCTGAGAGAGACGGCAAGAACAATGTGGCATTTATGAGCTACTTTCTACAGGGAAAGTAAGTATTGAACAAAGACATAAACAGATAGTCACATTAATTAAAAAGTTAAGTGCAAATCTGCTTTCTGTGATGTTTTTTTCCTGAGAAAGTGAAATGAGTGAACACTGGGAATCCATGGAGTGAAGACTGAAAGTGGGAGGGACAGAGCCCCATGAACCCCACTCAGCATCTTTAGGAGGCAGGTGTCTTTACTCACCATATTTAATGAGTTGTAGTATATTCATGAAGGCTTTAGTGCTCCTTAAATTGAGGTCTGTGAACTTTTTTTTAAAAAAAATTTTGATAATTGTATTTCAGCATAATTGATTTCCACTACAGTCCTATGTGTTTTATTTCATGCGTTTAAAAACATGGGAATGGGACCATATGCTTCACCAGACTGCCGGAGGGATCCCTGACACATACAGAAAAAGGTTAAGAATCCTTGCTTTAAAGGAAGAATTAAAATTCAGTACTCAGTAGTTCTGGTGGTTAAGCCACTTGAGGCAGCTGATTGTGCAGTGGTCAGAATGCTGGGCGTGGAGTCTGGAAGACCTGAGTTCAAATATATCTTAGGATACACACTTGTTGGGTGATCCTGGATAAGTCACTTTGATTGAATTGTCTGGCCAAGTCTCGAGTTGTTTTGCTTTTTAACTAGCTTGATAAGGGCCTTGTGATAAGATTTTCGTTCACATCCCCTCTGATGGTCCAGCACTTGTCATTTATTTATTTATTTATTTGTTTATTTATAGTTTTCAGCATTTACTTTTATAGTATTTTGAGTTCTAAAACTTTCCCCTTCTTCCCTCCCCAAGACAGCCTGCAATCTGATATAGACTATATGTGTACAATTTTATTAACGCTTATTTCCATATTAGTCATCCAACATTTGTCTTAACATCTCATGCTTATAAGTTACTGGTTCATTTATTTATGTGAGCAGATAATTAATTGAATGCCAACTCCACTTTTCTGTAATGTGTTAACTATCAATGTTGGCCTTAATTCTTGCTATTATTAACTCAGATTTCCTCTTGTTTAGGCTTGAATCTTGTCTGGAACTCTTGATTCGAACTGGACGTTTGCCTGAAGCTGCTTTCCTAGCTCGGACATATTTACCAAGCCAGGTGTCAAGGTACCATCTTTAAATTTGAGGACAGATTGTTTCAAGGGATGACAGAAACCTATTAAGTTTGTTTTTGGTTCCTCTATTACAGGGTAGTCAAACTGTGGAGAGAGAATCTCTCAAAAGTCAATCAGAAAGCAGCTGAATCCCTTGCTGATCCCACGGAGTATGAAAATCTTTTCCCTGGGTTGAAAGAAGCTTTTATTGTTGAAGAGTATGTGAAGGAGACCCATACAGCTTTGCGACCTGCCAAAGAATATCCGCTTGTCACTGTGAGTGTTTAAAAAGACAATTTTATGGTTTTATCTAGTAAGATTCCAAGTTTATACCCTGTAAATTATGACTGGTTTTTATTAAACATTTCTTGGATGTAGGATTTTTAAAATGTGAATGTCAATGTGATGTAATTCAGTCTTTTCTTTTTTGAATTGTAAGTTAAGCTCTTAGATTTCCTTTTTTTTGCAGAATGTTTCATACTTATTGTACTCTTATTCTGTGATAGCCAAATGAAGAAAGAAATGTGATGGAAGAAGCTAAAGGTTTTCAACCATCAGGAATCATGACCCAGGTGAGCAGTGTATTTTGAAGTCAATATAGCATTGCATATTACTTTTCATATCATATGTTATGTGTAAGAAAATTCAACACTGTTATTTGTTTTTGATGATATCTTCAGTATTTCATATGTAGTTCTCCATCTCTGGAGGGGGGACGAAAGACTTTTTTAAAAATCTCTTCAGGTTTGGTCCTTATAATTGTACAACATTCAGTTTTGGCTTTTTGCTGTTGTTCTTTCCACTTATGTTGTTGTAGTATATTGTTTTCCTGGTTTTACTTCATTCTACATCAATTCCTATGTCTTCCCATGCCGCTCTGAATTCTTTTTATTCACTGTTTCTTAAGGTAGTGTAATCCATTACATCTACCTGCCAGTTTGTTTACCCGTTCCTCAGTTGGTTTGCATCTACTTTGCTTCTAGTTCAAGTTGAATTTTTTGTCAGTCAATAAACATTTAAGTACCTACCGTGTTCCAGGAAGTATTCTAAGTATCACCAGCTTAAGCCCTGGTGATACAGAGAAAGGCAAAAGTTAGTTCTTGCCCTTGGAAAGCTTATAATCGAATAGGGAAAACAACACAAATAACAACTATGTATAAACAAGCTTTATACAGGATAAATAGGAAATAATCAATAGAGGGAAGACACTAAAATGAAGAGGGATTGGGAAAGGCTTCCTCTAGAGGATTGGATTTTAGCTGGGACTCAAAGGAAGACAGAGAGCCCCAGGCAATAATGAGGAAGGACAGCATCCTAGACATGAGGGAAAGCCAGGGAAAATGCCCAGAGTGGAGAGAAGTGTCTTGTTTGAGGAGTAGCAAGGAGGCCAGTATTACTTGATAATTATCATCATCATCATCATCATCATCATCATTATTATTCGACCTTCATTTTTGAAAAGAACCAATGATCATGACGGGTGATATCTTGATTTGCCAAGATGAATTATTAATGAATATTTTTTCTCTGTTATTTTTCATAATATTTGATGTTTGATTTCACATTGCATATAATGTCGCTTTCCCCCTTTGTTTTTTAATCTTTGTTATAAGGGATTTCTCAGTCTTTGGGAAGGGGAATGGAAGACAGCAAAAATAAAAGATGTCAGTAAAACATTACTTAAATTTTTTTAAAAATTTCAGTTCCCTAATTTTATTTCAACAAACATAAATCTTGGGGCTATAACGACCAAAAATGAAAACAGTTCCTACCTTGAAGGGACTTATGTTCTTTGGGGAGGAGAGAGAGAAATACATGAACAGTTTTAGGAAAGAGAGAATACCTCCAATTAAAGGGACCAGAGAAGGTAGCTTTTATAGGAGGAAGCACCTGAAAAAAAAAATAAAGATACTAAAGTAGAGGTGAGTTGGGGAGAGTATATTTCATGACAGCCTTTGTGAACACATGGAGATGAGAGATAGCATGCCAGGTTTGAAGAATAGTCTAGTTTGGTTGGATCATAGTTTGTGTTAAAGGGAGTGACATGAAATGTCAGCAAAGTTAGATGGGAGCCAGATTGCATAGGACTTTAAATGCCAGACTGAGTTTTATCCTGAGGCATCTGGGAACTGTTGAAGGTTTTTGAGCAGAGGAGGCCAGATTTTAACTTTAGGAAGATGGTCTTGACAGAAGCAGGGAACACCAATTAGGAAGTGAATAGTTTAAGTGAGAGAAGATGAGAGTCTGAACTGGGTTGGTGGCCATGTGAGTGGAGGGGAGGAGGATACATCTGAGAAATGTTCTGGAGGCAGAAGAAAAAAATAGCAAAAACTTGGCAACTAATTACTTATTAGTTCATATATAAAGAGTGGAAAGTCACAGTTGAGGTTGCATACTTGCATGACTGAAGGATGTTGATTTTCTCAAAAGAAAGAGGAAAGTTTGGAAGAAGTGGTATGGGCTGGGGGAGGAAAATAATTAATTCTTTCACTTTGTCTTATTCCATATTCATTTTTCTTTTCTGTAACAACTTTTTTTTTAATAGAGTTGTGAAGGAAGTGCTTCACAAAGCTTAAGATATTATGTAAATAATTACAATTTTCTTAATGCGTATTTCTGCATTTGCTTTAAGGAATTTGATGAGGAGGAACCAACTTCTCCGGCTCCAGTCATAGTGAATGCCGTTCCAGCAAGTTCAGAACCAACTCTAAATACAAAAGAGGAAAAGGTATGCCATAGCTACCCCCACCCTAAATCTCCCAGGTCTGATAGTGAGCCGTTCCTAAACAGAGCTGCACCCCCTACGCAGGTACGTGATGCTCATTACTGCCTCACCTAGTTAAGTGGCCCTGCTAGAAGAGCTTAGACTTTGCAGAACATCAACAGCATAGTTCATTACAGAACTATGGAAATGGAGGGAAGGAGCTGTTTGAAGTTTCTTCCTGCCAAAACACAGTTGATTATTAAAATACACAGCTAGCAGTTGACTTTTAGAAGATTTCTATAGTCTTATCCATTTGAATAATAATAACAACATCTGTATAATACCTACTATGTGCCAGGTACTGTGCTAAGCACTTTACAATTATTATTTCATCTAGTCCTCACAACAGTTCTGGGAGGTAGGTGCTATTATTAATCCACATTTTATAGATGAGGAAACTGTAGCAATTAGGTTAAGTGACTTGCCTAGGGTCATATAGCTAGTATATGTTTAAGGCCTGATTTGAACTCAGGTCTTCCAGACTCCAGGGCCAGTGTTCTGTTCGTTATACTACCAGCTGCTGAACGGATAGAGATTGCAGCGTAGCTGATTTTGGTTTGATAAAAAACAGGCAGTGTTGTATAGCTGATTTATAATAATTTATATTGGATTTATAATCACTGGGCTTTTTTTTTTTTAATCTTTGTGACCTTAGGTCATTATAATTAGAATAGTGCCACTAGGGTTTTATACCAAGGTAGGATATTTTAGAAGGCTCACAGCAACGTCTCTGGGTCACACATCCTTCCTAGCAATAGCGTCTCCTCAGGGCCCTCCATCTTCCTTCAGGACTTCACAAAAGAAATTTCCCAGTGTGTCTTCCCACCCTCATACACTCGCTAAGCCTCTTCCTACTCCACCTTCCCTTGCAAAAATTGCCAGTTATGACTCTGCCCTTGATGAGTCTCAGCTTCTCTAGGCTTTAGTTAGACCTGTAAAATGAGGGTTGGATTAGATTATCTCTAAAGACTTTTCTAGCTCTATGGCCTAAAATCCTGTAAGGAAGAACCTCATAACAATTAGAGCTTTCCAAGAAGGGAAGGAGTTGCCCATGGAGCTTCTGGTGACTGCACGCCTCCAGAGGCTGGCTGATCATTTGTCAAGGATGTTCTGAAGGGGATTTCTGTTAAGCTATGATTGAACTTAGATGTCTGAGGTCTTGGTAACTGAGTCTCTATGAATTCGTAGTTTATGAAACCAAAAACTTCGGCTCACTGGGTGTGCATTTGGGAAAAATAGTCATTTAATAAAATTTTGTCTTTTTTCCTCAGAGTCTACTCGAATTAGATGATTTGGACAACTTGGATCTAGAAGATATTGACACAACAGATATCAATCTGGATGAAGATATTTTGGATGACTGAACTTTTTCATTTCACTGACCAAACAGATCATAAATATGCATTATTTTCACTTTTAATCTGGACCACATTGTTTTGGACTATGAAAAACCAGGTTCATTTTATACTTAGAGTCTACTTTGGACCCTTTGGAGCAAAAGTATGCGACATTAAATCATTATGTGTTCTTGGTTAATTTTGTTAACTAGAATATGAACCATGTCTCTTTTCATATTGTCATTAGGCCATATAAAAATCTCTTCAACTAATGGAAATGCTTCAAAAAAAATTTTTATGTGTAAAATGAACCGATAGTTTAAGTTAACACTGTGGTTACATAGCTTTTTATAAAAACCACATGAAAAGTGACAGAGCAGTCGAGTACATGTGATGTAGTCTTCCATAGATGGACAAAATTTTTTCTGTTTGGCCTAATGCAAAATATAAAACGTATTGTTACGAGGCTATGCCTTCTATAGTTACTATGCCAGAAGTACACATTTACATTATCATTTAGGTATAGCATATCCACTCTTAGTTTCTCTGTGTAGCTAATTTGAGTTCCATATGCATTTAAATTGCACTGTCTCCCTACCCCCACTCCTAGTTGAACTGTATTAATTATATTCCCCTGTGGACCTACTGCCCACATTTGAATGTCAATGAATCTACATTCATTTTGATTTGACTTTTACCTTTCCCCTAAGAATCTATATTGTATTGGGTCTCAGTTTCCTTATTTGTAAAATGGATTAGTCTGGATGACCTCTAAAGTTGCTATATGTCTAAGATCATAATGTAAAAAGGTATTTTGAGGTTAACGTAGCTGCTTAGAGATTGTTGGTGTGGATTCTAGTGACAGCTCTACCACTAACTGGCTCTAGACCATAGGCAAGTCATGGCAACTGTTTCTGCTTCTTCATCTATAGAAGGAGGGAATTGTACAAGATCTCCAAAAACCATCCTAGCTCTAAATTCCTTGATTCCCAATGAAATTTATCTCTACTTCCTTTGTTATACTCTGCTCTTAAAAAGGACCTTAATTTTAGTGTAAAATACATACATTTATATAGGGCTTTAAGACAGACCTGAAAGGGCAGCTAGGTGGCACAGTGGATATAACTCTGGCTTTGGAGTCAGAAAGAGCTGAGTTCAAATCCAGCCTCAACCACATAACACTCACTAGCTGTGTGACTGGGCAAGTCATTTAACCCCAATTGCCTCACCAAAAAAAAACAAAAACAAAAAGACTGACCTGAAGCCGATAAATGTTGTATTTATATCTCCTTCAGTTTTCTTTTTAACAAAGATCAATGCCTAAAGCTAAACTAATTAAATACCTTCAGGCATCATGGACCTAGTTAGAAGAGTTGTTTTTAGGGGCAGGGAAATCTTACACATACAGGTGGTTGCTTTTATAGCCTTTTATGCAAGGCCTGGTTCTGAAAATTGCTTCAATGAAAAAGAAAACTTTATTGTTGCTCAGGGAACCAGGAAATCCCATAATCTCCACCCTATGGATTAAATAATTAACACCATGTGATTAAGCAACTCCTAGTGTGGAGTCTAGTGGTGTTGGAAAAAAGTCAGAAATGAGGAACACCCCCACTCCCCAGTAATTCTGTAACTATATGGTTTCTATCTTCCAAGCATCTTAAAGCCCTTTCACATGTGTATTTCCTAAGTCAAGAAGATTCCTTAAAAAGAAAGTTAAGAATTTTTGGTTTTGTTCTTAGTTTTTGGAGGGAAAAGAGTAAGGAAAAATGGCCCAAGTTCACAAAGAAAGTGACTGTGCCTCAGCTTCCTTCACTGCCTTCTTTACCCTTTGGGATTCTTCATAGGGACTCAATGAAGCTCAGATGGGAAGGGCTTTAATACGTACAGAGTTAGATACACATGATTGTGGAGAATGGGGGGGAGGAGGGATGCGGGCAGTGCTGCAAATAGGGTTAAAAGCTTTGCATTTTGGTTCCAGCTCTGCCACTAATTAGCTTAGAAAAGCAAGCTGTCTTTCTTTAATTTGCTGCCTGGAATGGTTCAACTCTAAACAACCAGAGGCTGATAATAGGTATCCCAGGGAGGAACCATCAGATTAGTACTACAGAGCTTTGGAAAGCTGGATATTTCCAGGGGTCAGAAAAAGACAACTTAACTTTTAGCACCAGAATAAAACTCAAAAGTGGTTTTTACCGTGAAAATAAGAAAGCCTTCAAGAGGTTCACATCATTTTTGAGGATGGGTATCATGGCATCCAATCAACAGGTAGCACTGTAAAACTGAGACGATGGCAGCATCAAATTGTGATAACAGACCTAAAAAACCTCCAGGAAAGAGACTATCATGGGGCTGGCACTGTGGTGACATGGAGAGCAACAGGAATTTAGTCGACACCTGGGAGTCTTCTACTTCATGTCCCGTGTGATCCGAAACAAATACCTTCCCTAGGGTCAAATACCAAGTAACTGTTTGGCATTTAATGCCATTTGTGACTCAGCCTCTACCTGCCTTGCCAACTCTTATTATACCACCCCCTTTCATGAATATTTTACTCCAGCCAAACTGGTCTTACTGTGACTCATACTCAGTACTTCATCTTCCATCTCTAACACATTCACTCTTCATCACCTTTTAGGAGCCTTAGTTTTCTTCAAGGTTCAGCTCAAGCACCACCTTCTATATGAAGCTGTTCCTGATTCCATATAATTGCTAATACCTAAACTCCCCAAATCACCTGTATCTAGTTTGTATATACTGATAAATACACCTTACCCAACAGATATAAACTTCTTGAGGGCAGTGACTTTTCTCTTTGCCCTGGTATCCCACATGGCTGGCATACAATAGGTGCTCAGTAACTTGACTAATGTGACATTGGCGAAAATCACTTTTCTTCTGGGAGCCCAGTGTCCACAAAAATGAATGTTGGGCTAGAATGGCCTTCGTGCCTGCCAACTATAAAATGACAATTTCATTTTGTTGTATAAGAATTTAATGAAGCCTTAGACATTCAAGACCAAGACTTGGGGGTTAAGGGAGAGGGGTTATTGCTTAGTGACCTACCCTTGTATCTTGTCCCCAGCTCTGCTGCTTTTTGGTCCAAGGTATGAGTTCCTCAAACACCCTGCTACTCTCTACCCTGGCCTCTGCCTGAAATTATCCTTTTTCTACTGACACAAACCCCTTTCTTTCCAGTGATCTATTGTAAGCAATCGTCAAGGAGAGTTCAACCTCTTTTTATCCCTATGTTTTTTCTTTGAACTCTCAAATACCAGTATCTGTTTTCTTCTTGTAGGCCATAAAAAAGGATAATAAGACTTTACTTTTCAACTTATTAATAGAAAATATCTGCAACTTTTTAATAAAAATAACCTGATACAACCTTGACCAGGGAAAAAATGGAATTGTTGATTATACAACATTCTGTTCAATGTAAAAGCAAGACAAATTTTGATGATATTTAATAAAAAAGATAATTTATTTAAGTACTTTCTTCAGGAAGCTGCAGAATGACTACTTAATGCTTCTTGGTAAGCCTGTAAAGTTAACTCTATATATCCTCCCTTCTGTGCTTCTGTTTTTGCAAAGACCTGTTTGGGAAGGGAAAAATAAGGTTATAAAATGCTGTATTTTTTGGTCTTAGAATATGTGCTTTTTTTCATATTATCTGGCTTCTAGAGTACTTGAAGTAATTCATGGAAAAGGTTAAGTGTACTGTTTTAAGTCAGAGCAAGTTTTCCACTCCCAGCCCACACAGGCAAATTTTAAGGAACGCTCATTTTAAACTCTAGTATTATATTGATAGGGCTTTTAAAATCTAAGATCAAGAGAATTAGGGAAAGAATAAAAAGCAAACACCTTGCAACAAGCCACTACCTTCACACTGAACTAAAAACTCTAAACTATGGACTCCAAGAATTTGGAAGGTCTTATGTAATACCACTTTATTAATCATGATTTGAGGACCAACCTTTCACATCAAAAGACAAGTTATAAAGAAGCTACAATTCACTTTGACTCCTCTTGTTTTTTTGGGGGGGGTGGGAGGGGAGAAGGACCAGATTTGTTATAATGGATCGTTAAGGAATACTACCCTGCAAGATATAAGTATAAATCTCATTATTCCCCTTTTACAGATGAGAACAGAGTCCCAAAAAGTTAAAATGACTTGCCCAAAGTTACAGTTTTTACAAGGCCAAGTCAGGACTTGGACCTAGTTGTTCTGACTTTAAATCTGTTACTTCCAGTATACTACACTGTCCTCTCCACCAGTTCTAAGGTGGCAGGGATCACTGTGGTCATTTTTCTTCCCTAACAAATCTCAGATAAAATGACCCATATTGTTATGACGTGTTAAATTGTACAGCAACTAGCAGAGGAAGTTTTTCATACCACTATGATACAAAATCCTTTCCCGATACTCATGGAAATGAATTTTTATGAATACTAGATGGTTAACATTTACCAATAAAAATATCCAATCTATACTCTTTAACAGGATAGTGATGCAGATATAAGGATTTCAAAAAATTAAACACAAATCAGTCTTGCAAATATGAAACATACACAGAACCCCCTCCACCCTCACTAATTCATTATTGTCTGAAGAAATACACATTCAAATAAAGTTGAATTATGGTGTAAGTCCAGTTAGAAATTCCTTGATACTCTTAACACATACGGCCCCTTTCTTGTTCTTCCTTCATACATACATTAAGGCTGCATGAATATTGCTCAGTGACAGTACAGCGAAGGAGCACTGCTCAAGCAGTTATCCTATTTCTGACCTGGCAAACTTCAGCCACCTAAACTTGAACATGCTAAAGAATGTGTGCATGCATTATCTCCTATGAAAGGGATTGGTATCGATATTTCTCCACTTTAATATTAACCAGGGTATTTGCAGTATTTATCATATCTTCACAACAACAAACTGACCAAAATCCACCCCCTTTTAAAAATGACTTTAAAGTGTAGTCTCTAAGGATACTCAAGCTATTTAAAATTGTTCATTACTTAATTATCAACACGCTGAAGACAATAAGAAATAATATAATTTACCTTAATTAAGTCTAATCCCTCAGCTCCTTGTTCTTTAGCCTGCTTAGCAGAGTGTCCGTGTGGATGAAGCATGTGATACAGAACGACCAAACTTGTGGCATCATCCATTCTGAAAAGTTTTTAAAGTTATTTTAATCAACTCCCACAGTTTGTATGCAAGCTCTGTATTCTACAAATCAGCATTTAGCATTCATCCAATCATAAGTAATAATAAAAATATTACTGCATGCTTTACACTTTCCAATTAAAACATTGTTTTTATATAAATATACAACCAAGCACCAGCAATGGATGTCAGGAAACATTTCACATGAGATTGGCAGTTGGACTGGATTAGAGAAAGGGGAAGGAAGTAGATGCCCCTGAGGACTACGTGTCCCTTAATTTTCTATGTAAGTATGAGCTCAGGTACCTTTCCACAACAACCACATCCCATCTGTTTTCATTTTGGCAACAAAATAGGCAGGGTCCTAGAGGTGAATTAACCATTGCTCATGTGTATGTGGCTTGGAACTGCCTCTAATACTACTTGTGTGTCCTTGGGCAAATTAATTAACTTCTCTGGGCCTCAGTTTCTTCATCTGTAAAATGAAGGTTGAACTAGATGGCCTCTGAGGTCCCTTCCAGCTCTAAATCTAAGAACTGCTAATATCTCAATTGGCAAGAAACGCGGTTTGGTAGACTGGCATCCTAGGTGGGGCACTGGGTTCTAAAGTCATCACAGAAGCCAAATATTGTAATACTATGGTCAAAACCATCCTCTTTAAAATCCCTGAAATTGTGTATCAAGGTCAACAGGTTAAGTTTGCAAACAAATCTGTACCTTTGAGACAAGGACAAGGAGTAAAGGCTGGGTCAGTCTGAGTGGGTGAAGTGGAGCCAGACCAGTGCCTTGCTTGAACAAGGTGACACTTATGTTTCTCTTTCTTCCAACACACCACTCCCCCACCCCCCAACATCCCTGTGAGAACTAGAACAGATCAACGTCTCTATTACTGATTACTCAATGGCATATGCTTATTGAATGAAATGGTTTATAAATCACCTGAACTATGTAAATTATTTTTCTTTTTTTCCCTCCCAAGTATACTGCATTCCTGTATGAAGAGAGCAAAGGACTTGGGAGTTAGAAGACCACGACCAAGCCTCAGCTCTGCCAATTACTTTTCTAGGCCTCAATTTCTTCATCTCTAAAATAAGGGAGTTGGACCAATCAATTGGATCAGATGATCTCTAAGAGTCCTTTCAACTCTGACATTCTGATTCTGTGAGATAAGGAAACCGAGGCACCAAGAAGCAACGCTGGCGATCACAGCCCTAGATAGTGGATTCCAAGGCTAAGTGTCACGTCTCCTGGCACAGAGGCCAGTGTTCTTTACATACAGAATTTACACTACACAAGGCAAAGTCAAGAACACAGGAACATTTTTTAGAAAAGACAAAAATTTTCACCAACATTTAAAATTCTCTGGTTTCAACTACACCTAATCATCACACAATCTTTTTTTTACAATGCCGATATTTTCCTATCATTCATTGCCTCATAGCTCTACAGATATAAGAATGGTTTTCAGGCTTTCTTTTTAAGAAAGAGGTACTCCCAAACTACCCTCTTCTATAGTCCAACACTCTGCCTTCTTTCCATGTGAGGGAAGCACTAACCAGAAGCCACTCTGGAGTCAGAAGCATTTCTCTCCTCTGCAGAGGAAAGCAACACATTATCTTACAAAGTAGCAGTAATAGCTCGTGTTATCCCTGATACCCCTGTCAAAGAAAATAGGACAGGCAGTCTGCTCTTCAAAATGAGTGCCCCAACCACTGAGAATGTCCCAACCCCTTAGATGAAACCAGGCTACTTACTGCATGGCTATTCTAAGCTTTCCTGACCTATAGGAAGTTCCTAGAAGAATGAAAAAACTTTGAAGCTGCTGACTTCCTGAACTGGGGTTTTAAAGAAAATTTCTCATTTTTTTTTTTCCCCTACTACAATATTTTGGTGCTTCTGAGAAAGGCCAAAAGACAGGTCAAGAAAGAGTTCATCTATCTTTAAGACTAATGCATGTTCCCATATAAATGGCTGTTGGAATGCATGGATCACCCAGAATGTACCACTACCCAAGTTCACTTTTAAAATTAGGAGAACCCAAAATCATTGACTTTTCCAAAGAATATAAAAATATTTCCATTTACAATCACTAGATCTGGAGGGGAATGGAACACTCTAATTTATACATAGTAAAAATAAATCAGATACGTTTTTTTTTTTTAAAAAGTGAAGAGCACCACCAGCCACACAGCCTAAGATGGACAAGTTCAGCTGGACTTCATGTAACAACAAATTTTTCTTAACGTAAGAACTACCTTCAAGTGGAAGGAACTGTCTCTAAAAGGAGATAATTCCCTTACTGAAGGTCTTCAACAAAGGCCAGATAACTACATTCTAGATACAGTATGATCAGGATTTGTATTTCGGGTATTAGACCAGATGGTCTCTGAGATCCTTTCAAACTACAAGAGTCTGTGATTTTTTTTTTCAGCACTATAAAAATTATTTAATAGATGAAGAGCTGGAAAAATACTGTCAAAGTCTAATTTCTAACCTAATGTATATAACACACACCTGATGTAATTTAATACTGGTATGCAATGTTCACTGTAGAGTATGATTTTTGAAGTGAAATATTTCACAATCTATCAGAAAGCTAAAAATAGTGAAGTAAAAGCTGTCACAATCTTTTCTTTTATATTAAACTTTGTTCACATACTCTGTAATCATACCTACTGGCATAGAGTTAAGATTGCTCATGTAATTGTGTGTCCCTTGTGCTTGACTGGACTATGATTGTTATAAACATTTGCACACACAAAACAGAAAACCTAATCACCTATGAAACGAAAACAACATCCTAATTACAGATTTGCTTTAATGTCTCCGTATTAAATCAAAGAAAATCAATTGATTACAAAAGAGCTTACTTACAAATCTCTCTGAATCTGGTCAATCAGCAAACCATCAATCTTTTTATTATTTACCAGATACCACACCATTCCACCAAAGTGTCTTGTTGAACGCAAAATGTCATATTTACCATGCTTTTCTAAATCTTCATATGTCTGGTGATGAATCTACCCATAATAAAACAATACATTTATGTCGTTAATAATAAAGCAAAAGCTCACATTTAATGCAATGCTTCACTAATTAACAAAGCACTCTCTTCACAACAGTCCTATGAGGTTCATGGTACAAGTATTAATATCTCATTTTGTGTTTGAGGAAACAGAGGATTGGGGAGAGACAACTGGTGTCAGTCCTGACACCTGGAATCAAGATCTGCCACCGCCATGTAATGGCCATGTGACCTTAGGCAAATCAGTTAACCTCCAAGTGCCCCCGGTAACTATCTCAGCCTTCCAGTTGTGGTATGGATGCTGATGTATATTGGTAGAGGAAACGTCCTCATTAGGACTTCTCTATACCAATGAAATCACAGGTCCCATTCAAAATATGGAAACTAAAGATCAAAGAGGTAGTTAGTGGCAGAGCAGGATTCAAATTCCAGGTCCCCTGACTTCAATTCCAGTATGCTTTACCCTTCAATATGCAGTAAAATCAAAGCAAGTGAATCATGTGAGAAGTATTAAGTAGGTAAACTATGTTCCTGAGTTGGCATATACTCCTAGAAGGTATGCTGTCCACACAATTTGCCATAAAACTAAACCTACACATGATGATCTCAACTAATATTAATCAGTGCCTAGAATTTAACCACTTGTAAGATCTAGTTAAGGTAGGAATAAGTCTCACAAAATAAAAAGGATTTGCCTTAGAGACTAAATAGGTATAATCTCTCACTTAAGTATACTGCAGAATGTAGCAAATTAACCCAGTAATTTTTAACCAGACTATAATTAATCAAGGTAATGAGCACCTTAAATTAACTATAAGCCGATAGGAATAATTAAAAGTTAATTTAGGACTCAGAGATTTAGAGCTGGTCATCTACTTATACCCTCATTATATTGATGGGAAAAACCAAGATCCAGAGAGGCTGAGTTGTCTAAGGTCGCATAAATAGTAGGCCATGTAACCTAGACTAATTAAATAACAAATATTTGTTAATGAGGAGTCAGACACAACTAAAAATGACTAAACAACAACAAAAACAATAAGCATACAGATGGATAATGTACTCTAAAAGAGTAATTCAAAAGATCAGGCAGGAGATCATGCAGTGAGGGTCAGAGGAAGAAGGAAAGGATAATAATAGATGGTGATTCACTGCTACAGATATCCAGGTCATGACCTAAAAACAACAGGAAGGCATTGTTTTTCTGGGACATATATTGAAGAGAAAAACAGAGAACCTTTTAAGTTTCTTCAAGATGGTTGACTACAGCTCACTTCTGATGATTCATTTAGGCACAAATGATAAGCCAGAAGGAAGTTAAAGTATTGCCAAAGATTATGAGGTCTTAGACAAGAAATTCCATGAACCAGAGGCGTTTAAGTGTAGTGGAGAGCATTGAAAGATCAATAGAGGGAGAAACAAAAGTGATTTTATCATCAGACTGTATTACAGGACACCTGGACACAAATACAAAATAGATGAAATGTCAGGGAAATAACACATGTGGCAGAGAGTGGCATAACCTAGTTATGCTTGGGGACTTCAATTACCTGACATCTGCTAGAATTTTCTGACAAAGCTGAATAACGAATAACTTTTTGGCTTCTCATAATCGTAATTTCATTCTTCAAAAGATGGAGAGGTCAGGAAAGGTAAATTCAATTCTGGATCTAACCCATTAACAAGGAAAAACTGCTGTGGTGGAAAAGATGGAAATTTGCAATTGCAGAGAAAGGATCACTCCCTTCTAGAGTTTGAGATAAAAGACAGCTGGGCATACTCTGGCATGCACCCTAGATTTTGGGAAAGTAGTTCAAAAGAGAAGAAAGGTAAGAATTCAGGAGCTAAAATTCTACAGTAGAAGTCAACCCAGGAGGGAAGAGAAACACTCAAGAATTAAGATCTTAAATCACAAAAGGAAACAATTTGAATGAGTAGGGAAAATGGGAGCTGTCTGAAGAGACTGATATGGATGCACAAAAATTCACCAACCATTATTTCTAGACCTGACCTGGCTTCACCATTTGTGCCATCTTCCCTACTACTGGTGTGTCATCTGAACCAGACCTGCAGAGATCATACCCCAGAGATGCTAAGTCGCTCAGCTTTGGAACTCCCACCCTTGGGCCTAGCTGTACTGATTGAGAGCACATAATATCTAGTGGGCCCCAGACCCATTATGTTAGATTACTTATTTTCTTGCCAACTACCTTACTGCTACATATATATTCTACTCCCTTTCTACCTATGCCTCTTAGGATAGCAAAGAAATCAATTTCATTATGGTTTCTGGAAAAAAAACTAACAATCTCTGCCAGTCAATTGCCCTGCAGATCCATTCACCATCCCTGTGACTTCTCAGACCAAAATATACCTCCCTGGCAAACACTTTCACATCTATGCTATTTCCTCCTGTTGGAATGTAAGGTCCTTGAAGGAAGGGACTGTCTTGTTTTTGTACTTGTATCCCCAGTGCTAAGCAAGTGCCTGTCAAATGATAAGCACTTAAGTTTTCATTCATTTACTCAATGAACTTAGATCTTAAAAAGCTAAGTATAAAAGATGGAAGTAACGACAGGAAACAATGAACAAATATATGAGGGTACCACAGTTCTGTACAAATAGTGTCAGGAATGCTAAAGCTTGGAATGAGCTGAGGCTGACAAGGAAAGCCAAAGACAACAAAGTCTTTTTATCTGTTGAAGGGAAAGGAAAGCTCAGGGAAAGGTCAGCACTACAGTGTGGAATTGGGGGGCAGGAGGAAGACAATAAATGACGACAGAGTTGCTTCATTCTTATTTCGCTTATGTTTTCTCTGCCAAGAAGAACAAAGTCTAGACTGAAAAAGACAGAAGAAAAATGGCTAACAGAGTTCGAATTTATAGGATAAGTAAGGGGAAAGTATGAAAAATTGACAGGTATGACCTTCCAGGGATATGTGAAAGATTACAGAGAAGAGTAGAGGCTCTACACGAATAGAGATGGGCTAATATTCTGATTTTCAAGAAAAGGGAAAAGAACAGTTTGCATTTAGGCCAAGGAGTTTGGCTTTGATTCTTGGGAAAATTCTTTAAATTCCCTTCAAGAGATAGTTGCTTATCACTAACGCTTCTTAAACTGTGGGTCGCAACCCCATGTGGGTTTAAGAAGCACTGAAGGGGTCACGAGTTGGAAAAGTTTAATGATGTAGACAAGGAGGCAGTGATCACAAAGAAAAGGACAGCAGGGTTGCTACAGCTAGAGTTTGCCTAGATTTTTGCAAAATGTTTTACAAAATAACTCATATAATTCTTGTGGAAAAGATAAGACAGATGACATGATAATACAATTAGATGGATCCTGGACTCTATGAATAGTTTAAGGTTCAATGTCAACATCGTATCTGGTGAATTGCCCCAGGGATCTTGTTTGGCCATGTTGTTTAATATTTTTATTGACGATGAGAAAAACATTGATGGCATCTTCATCAAACTTGTAGATGAAACAAAGCTTGGAGGGAGAGCTAAAACAATGGATAGTAAAATCAAAACTGGACAGGTTAGAACACTGGTGATCCGGTTAGACCAGATGTGAATTACTGTGTTCAGTTCTAGATGGCACAATTTAAGAACCTTGATAAGCTAGAAAGTACCCAGAGGACAAGATATCAAAAGAATCTTGAGTCCATGTCTGATGACAATAAATTGACAGGATCATTGAATCACAGATGTAGGTCTGGAAGGGACCTCAGAAATCATCTAATCCAAACCCTTCATTTTACAAATGAGGAAGCTGAGGCCCAGAGAGGATAAGTGGCTTGCCCAAGGTCACACACACACAAGCTATAGAGGTACAATCTGAACCCAGGTCCTCTGATTCCAGTCAGTGCTATTTTCCCTACAACATGTTACCTTCCAAGTTGAGAGAAGTAGGAATACTGAGCCCTAAGAAGAGAAGAATTTGGGGGAACATGAGTGTTCAAATATCCAAAGGACTGTCATGTGGAAGAAGCATCGGAGTTGCTCTGTTTGGCTCCACAGGGCACACAAGAAACACTGGTTTTAAGTCTCAAAGATGAAAATTTAGGTTTGATGTCAGAAAAAACTTCCTAACTCTGAGCTCTTCCAAAGTGAAATGGGCTGCCTCAAGAGCTGCTAGGTTCCCCTTCCTTGGGGGTTTTCCACTTGCTGGGTAGGCTGCAGTGGAGATTATTTTGGGGATGGTTAGAGTAGATGGCTGCTGAGGTCCTCTAAATTCTGAAATATCCAAGGCAAATTTTATGAACAGTCAGAAGGCAAATGCTGCATGTTTTTGAATTTTAATATGCAATGTAGTACTTACAACTTTGGGCTAGCTCTAATTCACTGAAAATACTTCTTTGCAGCTGAAATTTATCATGAAGCACTGCTTGCTGGAATTTAGAAATCCTATTTACATGTGATATTTTAAGCACAGATTTCGTATCATTTCTGAAACTGTTGAACATACTCACTTTAATATAATCAGCTGAATCTGGCTCAAACTGCGCAACACAGAGATTGAGGACATCTTCATGGCGATGCTGACTGAACAAAGTCTACAATGATCCAACAGATCAGAGTTATATTCAGAAGAGGAACACGATTAAAAACTGCTCTAACTCAATGATGTGCATTGCATTAAAATGTATACATACTTCAGTAATAATATCAATAAGAATTCAAAAGGCAGTGTGATACTGTGAATTAAGGGCTGGTCTTAGAGTTAAGAAGACATGGATTCATGACTGTCACTGACACATCCTAGTTGTGTTACCACAGAGAACTCATTTTACCTCTCAGTGCCCCAGACAATTCCCTAAGACAATACATTATGGATGAGTTGCTAATTGGCAACAGTGCGAAATTTTCACACTATAGGTTTCCTACTAGAATTAAATCACAGATCTGGACAAAAATTAAAATATATATATACATATTTAAAATGCCTGTATAAACAGAACATATGCATATGAGCAACAATCCACATTTGCTATAGTTTCTCATATATAAGATGTAGATCTTTAGATATATATATATTATAGATCCATAGATGCTGATAGATGGCTAGACTGATAGAAGATAGATAGACAGACAGACAGACAGACAGACAGACAAAGACATAAAAGTCAGCTTACCAGAAGATTATTTGCCTGGAACATTAATGGTGGAAAAATCTTACGACCTTCTTTTGGGAAAAAAACCTGTATCATTCTGTCTCGTTCTTCCCAGGAAGCTTTGCGTAGAATACCATTTGGTTCCCTGACAACAATGAAACGCTCCTAAAATTGAAAACAAATCAAAGGTGAGATTTAGGGTTTTATTTTTAGTTTCAGTGTCTCATTAAATTCCTTCATTAAAGTAATTTGCAATCAACAATGTACCATGTAAAAAAGCAATCATGTGCAGTTATTTTTAAAACTACAAAGGCTTGGCAAGATTTTACTTTTCTTCCTTAGCATTTGTATTTTATAGAACTCATTAATAACAATCCAAATACAAATTCAATAATTATAATATTTATAGCATCTACTATGTATGATGAATGCTGAAATAAATTGGTTTAACTTAAATGAAAAGCAGAGGTATCAAACTTGGGCCAGCAAAACTCTTGAGTGAAGCTGAAACCAGATTAAAATGTAATTGGAAAATGTTTAACACATTAAATAAAAATATAATACAACACAGATAATGTTAATTTGTGGTTTTCTAAGTCAATAAGACCTTCAGGGATCCATTTCTATTTATGTTTGACTCCATAGCTACAAAGCCCCAATCATACAACCAGAGTACAATTTAATATTTACTTGTATGTTTCTAAAGGAAATGAAATCTTTCTATGTTGTTTCATTTTCTCCTCAGAGTCAGAAGATCTTGAAGTTGAAAGAGGCCTCAAGAAATCACCTCCTTCAATCCATACCTTAATAGGAATCTCCACTACAGTATCCCTGACAAGTGTTCACATAACGTTCATTTGCAAACCTCAAGAGAAAGGGAACCCACTACTTCCCATGGCATATCCTATCCATTCCACTTTTGAAAAACTCGTATTTGAAGCCAGCTAACCCATCCTCCTAAATCTTCTCTTCAATAGGCTAACTCCCCTAATTCCTTCACATGATCCTTATATGTTATGGCCTCTAGATCCAATGCTACTGAATCACCACCGTCCTAGAATCTAGATCCCAATTCACAGGATTCTGTACTTCATGTTTTCATATATACAGCAGCTACTACTGTCTATACCATGCTCAAGTCCTATCTCCTAAAACCTAACTACTACATAAGCTGAAAGCCTGAATCAACACATTTAATTTATAGGATGGACTTTAGTCATGGTCTTATAAAGGACTCCATTATATTTATAATGGTTGAATTGTAAATTCTTCCTACTTTCAAAGTTATTTTATAGCCTAAAACAGAAAAATGAAAAAAAAAATAACATCTCAACTTAGAAAATCACTATTTCTTTGAAGCTGTGGGTAGCTTCAAGAGATAGCAAAACTATTTCTTTGAAAAGTTTTTTAAGCAAAAGTAATGGTATTGATAGACTATTTCTATAGTGCATGAAATTCCCAAGAGAAATTATAGGATTATAAGGGCTCTTGGAAAGCATATGTGAATTTTCAACAAAAAATGCTACCTTCTGGAAAAGCTTCAACTATCCAGAGAGGATTCCTGATGGAGTCAACAAAAAGAATTCTCCCTTCCTTTACCATTTTTTTTCCCTTTAACACTTTTGTCTCAACATTCTCTTTTGGAGTTGTTGCTCCTCAGTAACACCACTGGCTGCCTAAGCTCTATGTACCATATGTAAAGAAAAGCTATGGGCTGGACTTAAATGATAAAGATTTGTGCTCTCCTTGGATTTTATTATAAAATGAGAGTCCCTGAATACAGTTGTAATCTCAAATATAGTCTTTTGCTTAAAGCTTCTGTACATTTTACTGCTCAACGTTTTTTGCTTTGATCTTTAACGTTAGAGAATACATGGTTGTCTATGTCATTTAAGCAAGATCTGGTTACTTTACGATGGATTCAGTTTTCGCTTTCTGAACCTATTACACTTTTCTACTTATCCAGAAACTGAAAGGCTGGATGGCTCTTCCTTTACTAGTGAACTAACATGGTTCTATAATGATACTGACTCCCAATTCTCAGCCCAAAATTGCCAAAGAAAGCTCTAAATAATGGTCCTTAGAGATATACTCACACGATGTGGAATGCTATATGTTAAATCAGTAAACACGTATTTGGCAGTATCGGTTCCTTCAAGGATTTTATCATCTGCTAATACATCATTTATTGGCTCTCGTTCTTTCAGCACAGGTGGCATTTTTAACTGTTCTTTAGCTGCCTCAATGGCACGTCTTGTGGCCTACAAAATAAAATATTTTTCTCAAGGGTGAGTAATCACACAATGAAGTAGCCCAAAAGGTCAACCAAAAACAAATAATTTATTAACTTCAAAACTAAACAGCTGTTGAAAATGACCATGGGTTCTGCCAAAAATAGTTCCATTGACAAATCAAATCTTTATTTTCATGTGCATGAGTAGAATTACTGGTAACTAGGTCTCTGTTATCTCTTCGTGTGAATGTGCTTGTGGTATCAACTATGAATATAAAAAACAGGACTATGTTTAAGGTAAGAGGCAACTTCTAAGAGGCAACAAAAAAAACCCCATAACCACATTCATAACAACAAATTTGCCTTTAGGGCATTATTTCAGGTAGTGGGTCATGAAATAAAGACTGAAGGTAGAACCAAATGTCTTTTTCCCCATTGTTTTTTGAGAAGTGGCTAACAAGATGGGCTTCTAGGAAAAGAGATATAATGCAGAAGATTATGCTTTTTAGTTAGAAAGGTTTAGGAGAAGTGATGCATGTCCAACAGATAGAGCAAGAATAAGTCAACTGTGGCATCTTCAATCATTTTATTTCAGTTTTTCCAGTTTGGGCTACATTATGCATATCTCTCTCTCTCTCTCTAAATGTGTGTGCACATATATGTGTGTGTGTGTGTGTGTGTGTGTGTGTGTGTGTGTGTGTGTGTGTGTGTGTGTGTGTGTATGTATATTTAAAGTATTTTCTTAGAAAAAATACTTAAATTATCTATATGCCCTGCAGTCACAAATCATAACTTTCTACAGAATGTGAACTTTATGAAAACAACATACACAATTTACTATAATGAAAAGAATAATAAAATAATAAAAATTTATTATAATATTATAATATTATAATAACTAAGCCTAGCTGCAAAGAAGAAATAGACATAAAAAGGAATCTCCTTTTCTTCTTTACAGAGGTGTGGGATTACAGATGTAGAGAAGACGTATCAAACTGCTTTTTGTTACTGCAAACCAGATTAAAATATAATTGGGAAATTTTTATAAATAAATACAACACAACATAAAGAATGTTCATTTGTGATTTTCTAAGTCAATATTCCATTTCTATTTGAATTTGATACCACTGATATAGAGTACTACATATATCTGACTTAGTTGATATATTATTTAATCTTGCTGAATTTTTTCCTCTTATTTTAATTTTTTTTATTATTCTTGAAAGGAGAGGAATATGGATATGCTAAGAAATCTGGATGATATAAAAACAAAATACATCAATAAAATGTTTTTTTTAAATAAAATAATGTCATGATTTTCAATTACGATTTTCTGATAACATTTATTTAAATCAGATACCTCTTCCAGTTGTGCTTCTGTCATTAGCTTATATGTTGGTGGCTTAAGTTGTTGCTTAATTGGTTTAAAAACCTTCTGTAAATCCAAACCAGTCATTTTGGTGAGTATATTTTGAACTTCCTCATCTGTGAATTCCGGCTTCTTTGTCTCCGAGCAATCTGAATCTGTCAAAATGAACTTCAGTTAAGTACAAACTGACAAAAATTCCACAGCAAAAAGAAGTACACAGGCAGCACCTAAAAAAAACACATGTCAACAGAAAAACAATATGCAGTCCAAGAAACATAAGCCCACAAAAATATCTACCTTCACATTCCTATTCCCCAAAGATATGCAAAGCAGTTTTGTGAATACATGTAGGCCAATCATGTAGCTACAGCAAAGGAAGACAAGACTATGTTATAATTTTGTGGTAAGCCACTATACCTATATAAGCTTCAGTGTACCAATGGAGAAGGAAATGGCAAACCACTCCAGTATCTTTGACAAGAAAAGCCCATAGGCAGTATTAAAATAATAAAATATATGACACTGGAAGATGAGACCCTTAAGTCAGAAGATGTCCAACACACTACTGGGGAAGAGTGGAGGATAATTACACATAGCTCCTGCACTAAGTGGCCGGGTCAAAACCTAAAAGAAGCTCAGCTGTGGATGTGTCTGGTGATGAGAGGAAAGTCTGATGCCATAAAGATCAATATTGCATAAGAAGCTAAAATGTAAGATCTACGAATCAAGGTAAGCTGGATGCGGTCTAAGAGGAGACAAATTTTAAATATCAACATCTTGGGTGTTAGTGAACTTAAATAGATGGGAATGGGTGAAATTAATTCAGGTGATCATTACATATACCACTGTGTGCAAGAATCCCTTAGAAGAAATGGAATAGCTTTCACAGTCAATAAAAGAGAGAGAAAAGCAGTACTGGGATAGAATCTCAAAAATGACAGAATGAAATCTGTTCAAATCCAAAGCAAACCATTCAACATCACATTAATACAAGCCTATGCTCCAACTACTGAGGCCAAAGTTGATCAGTTCTACTAAGACCTACAACATCTTCTAGAAATAACACCAAAAGGGGCAGCTAGGTGGCACAGTAGATAAAGCACCAGCCCTGAAGTCAGGAGGACCTGAGTTCAAATGAGGCCTCAGACCAAACACTTGACACTTACTAGCTGTGTGACCCTGGGCAAGTCACTTAACCCCAATTGCCTAAAAAAGAAAAAAAAAAAGAAATACACACACACACAAAGATGTTACATTCATCACAGGGAATTGGAATACTAAAGTAGGAAGTAAAAAAATTATTGGAATAAATAGGCAAGTTTGGCCTTGGAGTACAAAATGAAGCACAGCAGAGACTAAAAGAGTTCTGTCAAAATAACTCACTGATCATAGCAAACGCTCTTTTCCAGCAATCCAAAAGATGACTCTACACATGGACATCATCAGATGGTCGATACTGAAGTCACACAGATTATGTACTTTGCAGCCAAAGACAGAGAATCGCTATACAGCCAGTTAAAACAAGACCTGGAACTGACTGTAGCTCAGATCATGAGCTTCTTATTGCAAAATTCAGACTTAAACCATCACACCATATTGGGTATAACCTAAATAACATCTCTTACGAAGTTGAAGTGACAAACAGATTTAAGTGATTACATTTGGTAGAATGCCTGAAGAACTATGGACAGAGGTTCAAATACTGTACAGGAGGCAGCAACAAAAAACATTCCAAAGAAAAAGAAAAGCAAGAAAGCAAAATAACTGTCTGGTGAGGCTTTACAAATAGCTGAGGAAAGAAGGAAAGTGAAAGGGAAAGATATACCGAACTAATGCAGAATTCCAGAGAATAGCAAGGAGAGATAAAAAGTTTTCTTAAATGAGCAATGCAAAGAAATGGAAGAAAATAATAGAACGTGAAAGAAAAGAGACTTCTTCAAGAAAATCAGAGATATCAAGAGAACTTTTCATGCAAAAATGAGCATGATAAAAGACAAAAATGGTAGAGACTTTACAGAAGTAGAAAAGATTGAGAATAGGTGGCAAAAATGCACAAAAGAACCATACAAGGAAGATCTTAACATCACTGATCACAACGGTGTGGTTACTGATCTAGAGCCAGACATCCTGAACAATGAAGTGAAATGGGCCTTAAGAAGTATTGCTAACAATAAGACTAGTGGAAGTAATAGAATTCCAACTGAGCTATTTAAAATTCTAAAAGATAATGCTGTTAAAGTGCTGCATTCAATATGCCAGCAATTTTGGAAAATTCAACAGTGACCACTGGATTGGAAAAGATAAGTTTACACCCCAATCCTAAAGAAAGGCAATGACCAAGAATGTTTAAATTACCAAACTGCATTCATTTCACACACCAGCAAGGTTATGCTTAAGATTCTGCAAGCTAGGCTTCAGCAAGATATGAACTGAAAATTACCAGAAGCAGGATGGTTTTTGAAAAGGCTGAGGAACTAGAGGCCAAATTGCCAATATTCACTGGATTATGGAGAAAGCAAGGGCACTCCACCAAAAACACCTACTTCTGCTTCACTGACTATACTAAAGCCTTTGACTGTGTGAATCACAACAAAATATGGCAAGTCCTCAAAGACATGGCAGAACCAGATCCTCTTACTTGTCTCCCAAGGAATCTATATGCAGGCCAAGAAGCAACTGTTAGAACCAAACATGGAATAACTTGTTGGTTTAAGATTAGAAAAGAAGTACAAGGCTGTATATTGTCACCTTGTTTACATAATTTATATGCAGAGTACATCCTGAGAAATCCAGGCTGGATGAATCGATAACCAGAATTTAGGCTATTGGGAGAAATATCAAGAATTTCAGACATGCAGATGATGCAGAAAGTGAAAAATTAAGAAGCCTCTCGATGAGGATGACAGAGGAGAATGTAAAAGCTGGCTTGAAGCTTAACATAAAAAAAAAAAAAAAAAACTAAGATCCTCATCACTGGTTTCCTCACTTCCTGGCAAACAGGGGAAGAAAAAAATGGAAGCAGGGTCAGATTTTATATTCTTGGATTCAAAGATCACTGTAGACAGTGACTGCAACCACAAAATTAAAAGACACTTGCTCCTTAGAACGAAAGCCATGGCAAATCTGGACAGCATACTAAAAAGCAGACAGAGGCAGGTAGGTGGTGCAGTGGAAAGAGCACCGGTCCTGGATTCTGGAGGACCTGAGTTCAAATCCAGCTGCAGATATGTAACACTTACTAGCTGTGTGACCCTGGGCAAGTCACTCAACCCCATTGCCTAACCAAAAAAAAAAAAAAAAAAAGCAGAGGCAGTACCTTGCCAACAAAGATCCACATAGTATGGTTTTTCCAGTAACAATGCCTGGCTAGGAGAGTAGGACTATAAGGAAAGCTGAGTGCAAAATCAACACTTTCAAACTGCAGTATTGGAGAAGACCTTTGAGAGTCCCTTGGACAGCAAAGATGTCAAATCAGTCAATACTTAAAAGAAATTAACTCAGACAATTAACTGGAATGTCAAATACTGAAGCTAAAGCTTAAATACTTGGCCACATAATGAGAAGACAGGACTCATTGGAAAAGACCCTGATGTTGGGAAAGACTGAAGGCAAATGGAAAAGGGGATAGCATAGGATGAGATGGGTAGTGTCATGGAAGCAACGAACTTAAGCTTGGACAGACTTCAGGAGATAGCAGAGGATAGTAGGGCCTGACTTGAGTCCATGGGGTCATGAAGAGTCAGACACAATGAACAACAATGACATCATTTAATTCTCACAAAAACAGATTTTTGCATGTGACCAAGAGTCTAATACCAAGTGTCTAATACCAATCCTATGTGCTCAGAGAATGGAAAAAAAAAAAAGTAGTCTAGGATTAGTTTCTTATGGTTTAGTGAAAAGAGCAATAGATTTGGAGTTGGAGATTCAAATGTCACCTCTCCCATTTAACTACCTCTGCTACCTTGTGACAATTACTTCTTGTCTCAGCTCAAATTTCCTCAACCATAAAATAAAGTTGATCCTAACTGTACATAACAAGAGATGCATTAAAGTTATTTTTCCTTTCCTCACAGCTGAGAGCGCCTATGTCTTGTTGCATCTTTTTGGTCTCCCACACCAGAACATATACATTGAGTAAAGGTTTGTGGCCCACAGGAGAAGGCAGAACCCGGGGGTTTTTAACCAGGGTTCTTCCTCCCTTCCTTTCTTCTGTCCAGGACGTCCCAAAAGTCTGTGCAGTTTGATACTATTAAAGTATTTAAGCAACTAAAGCCTAAAGCTGCACTAAGATTTTTAGGACACGCCATGTCGGTATAATTGGTTTCTTTTGCTATCCTAAGTATTTTACATTATACATTTAAGCACATTATTCTGTAAAGGGATTCATAGGCTTTGCCAAAAAGGGTCCCTCACACAAAAAACAGTTAAGGACCTTTGCTCTCATCCAAGTTCACTTTACAGATTAAGAAAGCGGAGGCTTTAGGAGGAAATTAGAAGGTTCGGATGTGAAGCTAGTCACCCAAAGCTACACGACACAGCTCGGGAGTAGCAGGGTTGGGATTTGAACTCAGGGCCGCCTTCCCACGCTGCGGATGACACGGGGAGCCTAGCCCGGGGCAACGAGGACAGGAATGGGACAGAGTCCAGGGAACACTTACTAGCCTCGGAGCTCACCCGACGACAAGACGGCCCCGTCTCGCGGGCCCCCGGCGAGAGCGGGAGCCAGGCTTGGGCCGGGGCTCTGACTCTCAGAAGCCCTGAGCCCCTGAGCCCTGCTCCCCTGAGCCCTGCTCGGCAGAACCAAATAGAAGCAGTCACCCTGAAAACCGCCATCACCTGCCCCCCAACCATCTGCCCCGGAAGCGAAAGGCTTCTACTTCCTGAGTCACGCAAAAAAGTTTTGTGGCATGCTGGGAAATGTAGTGGGGGGGTGGGGCAAGAGTCAGGTGGATGGAGGTTAATGTCCGCCCGGGAAGGCCAATTTGTTCGACAATATTTATTGAAAAAAATGCCCTGCCGGCTTTTGGAAAGTCAGGGTTGGTAATCAGGGGAAAACTAAGGACTAAAGATTGAGATGTTCAGTTCAATAAATATTTTTTACATAAGGGACTCTACTCACCAGGAGTTTACATTCAGTCTAGTAGCTACAAAGATAACTGTGATACAAAATATCACTTCCCTAAGTACAAGAGAGAGTTACAAAGTGCCACGTGAGGTCGGAGGAAAAAAAAGAAAACTCCAGAACTGGGAGATGTGCTAAGAGGGAAAGGTATAAGGTTCAGCAAATTCAAATTGGATGACCTGAGGTCTTAATCTCAGAAAAGCAGGAATCAAGGTCACCTTCAGACAGAACAGTGGGACTGGAGAAATTTGAGATTGGAAAAGATTAAGACGAACTTCTATGGAGAGTATCCCTCAATAGAATGTTTCTTTTATGACACTCCACCATCTAGGTAAAACAGGTTTTGCTGAAGTCAGCAATCTACCTGAAGCAACTAATCTTGCATAGTCAGGGTCCTGTGTGATTTAAGTATGGCATAGTCAGAATTAGGGTGCTGTCTGGTCTTTGCTGTTCTTTCAGAAAGTCACTCCATCTCTTGTACTGGCCGTTTCCCATGTCTGGAACGCTCTCCGTCCTTATCTCTGTCTCTTGGCTTCCTTCAATTCATAACTAAAACATCACATTCTGCAAAAAGCAGTTTCCAGTCAATCTTAATCTTATTGCCTTCCTGCTGAGATTACCTTTAATTTTCCTGTATGTATCTTATTTGTACATGGTTGTTTGTATATTATTTCCCCTATCAGTTTGTGAGCTTTCCGAGGGTAGGGACCGTGTGTTTATGTTTTCCCTTTCTTTGCATCCTCTGCACTTAACAGTGCCTGGTATGTAACAGATGCTTAATTAAATCCTTCTTGACTTATACTGCTTCCCCCTGTAAGCACAGATCTAATTCTAGACCTCTTTCTCAACTTTCTCCTAATTAAGAACTGACCTACTGTGTGTCTCATGTGGTGAGCTCTCAGCAATCTGTTAAAGCAGAAAGTATAACATCCTAGAGTGAATTAACAGCTGATAACAGCTTCTGTGATCCCTCCTAGGGATAGTTGCATTTCAACACAAAAGTCTCTAATTTTGGAACCATGTCAGGCCAGTGGGATAGATATTTAGAGAGGGGGGAACCTTTATAATATACCTCAAATGACATTATGCAGTCAGCCCTGTATTTTGCTAATCTTTATGCTGTCTATACTCAGGAAGTTGAGAGAAAAGAGAAAGCATTTATTAGAATGGGAAGAAAAACATTAGGGTTTACTCCATAGCTGTTGTGGGATAGAGGAAAAAGTATGGGATAAGTCTTCAAAGATTTTGATGTGAATTCCGGTTAAGCTATGTCATCTCTACAACATTTGTAGATAGAACTATAAGGGAAAGAATATACCTACAAAATGGAATATATCTGCTGGCATATTCATAGTAATCTATTTTCATTATTGGTAACAGTGAGACATATACACTCTATCAACTCCATATCCAGTATCCTATGCAAGTGCCATTGGCACTTAGACGAGTTAGGAATAAATGACTGGACCTGACCAAACAAATACAGAAGAAAATTTATACTGGCCACAATTGAAACTATTCTGCCTCCTAGATCTTAAACTCTTGAAATGATCTGATTACAATGTTCTGTCCTAGTTTCCCTACTGCTTTCTCTTCTTGTTCTTCTTTCTCACTGTTACTTCTATTCCCTTAACTCCTCCATTCTCCTAGTCCATCACCCCTATTCTGATCTTTCTTCTTAGCACAGTCGACCCTATAATTAAAGAATTTAACAAGGCACACTGTCTTTCCCCACCTTGAATCCATTTCTCCCCGACTTAATATTCACACCGTTATAATTTTCAATCCTGAGCCACCTGCTCTTTTTGTTACAATAAAGGGTTCTAAGGTGATAAGAATTATTCGAGAGTGACAGTGAGCAATGGACTTAAAAATGCAAAAGGATCCTTAAAACTTGTTTTTAAAGTTATGCACAGAGTCTAAGAGGGATTTCCTATTGATTACAAGGTTTTCTGAATGCTTGCTTTGTTGTAGTTGCACTGAACCCTGGAACATTACAAAGTCTCCCTTGTGAAATCTGAAGAAATCTGAGTTTTTCTAACCATCCAAAATGAAAACCACAAAGTGAATTAAAAAAAAAAAAAAGAATTACCCGGATTGTGATATTCAGCAGAGGAGAGAGAGAGAATAGGAGGAGGAGGAGGAGGAGGAGGAGGAGACAAAGAAGGATATCTTGTACAGGCGCTGCAGATGGACAACAAACTGGACCCATTAAAGAGACAAAGCTGTATCACATTGAATTGCACAAGACTTTGAATGATTCCTAATTAATTGCTTATGCAAAAAGTCCATCTCTTTAAAATACATTCACTGTAAGATGATATATGTCTGTGAATCATGAAACATAACAATCTTAGAGATTCAAAATTATAAAAAAAATCCAAAGGGCAATGATGCATGATGATTATAAGTAAACTGCAGTGATGACTTACTATGTAACAAAAACTGCTGGGAAAACTGGAAAACAGTGTGGCAGAAACTACATTGTACACTAAGATAAAGTCAAAATGGGTACACAATTTAGATATAAAGGCTGATACTATAAGCAAACCAGGAGAGCAAGGAATAGTTTTCCTGTCAGATTTATAGAGAAGGGAAGAATTTATGATCAACCAAGAGATAGAGAACATTATGAAATGCAAAATGGATAATTTTGATTACATTAAATTGAAAAGTTTTTACACAAAGCCAATGCAACGAAGATTAGAAGGGAAGCAGAAAACTGGGAAACAATTTTTACAGCCGGTGCCTCTGATAAAAGCCTCATTTCTAAAATATGTGGAGAACCGAGTCAAATTTATAAGAATACAAGTCATTCTCCAAATGATAAGTGGTCAAAGGTTATGAACAGGCAGTTTTCAGAGGAAGAAATTAAAGCTATCTATAGTCATGTGAAAAAAAATATGCTCTAAATCACTATTGATTACAGAAATGTAAATCAAAACAACTCTGAGGTACCATATCACACCTATCAGATTGGCCAGCATGACAAAACAGGAAAATGATAAATGCTGGAGAAGATGTGGGGAAATTGGAACACTAATGGATTGTTGGTGGAGTTATGAACTTATCCAACCATTCTGGAGAGCAGTTTGGAACTACTATACCCAAAGGGCTATAAAATGTGCATACCCTTTGACCCAGCAATACTACTTCTAGGTCTATATCCCAAAGAGATCATAAAAATGGGAAAAGGACCCACATGTACAAAAACATTTACAGCAACTCTTTCTGTGGTGGCCAAGAATTGGAAATTGAGGAATGCCCATCTGCTGGGGAGGGGAATGGCTGAACAAGTTGTGGTATATGAATGTAATGGAATACTATTGTGCTATAAGAAATGATGAGCAGGCAAACTTCAGAAAAACCTGGAAAGACTTGTATGAACTGATGCTGAGTGAAGTGAGAGGAACCAGGAGAACATTGTACACAATAACAGCCACATTGTACGATGACTAACTTTGATAGACTTAGCTCTTCTCAGCAATGCAAGGATCTAAGACAACTCCAAAAGTCTCTTGATGGAAAATGCTATCCACATCCAGAGAAAGAACTTTGGAGTCTGAATGCAGATGGAAGCATACTATTTGCTCTTTTTTGTTCTTGTTATTTTGTTTCTTCTTTCTTGTGGCTCCTCCCATCAGTTCTAATTCTTCTGTACAACATGACTAATGTGAAAATAAAAATTAAAAAAAGAAAAACACCCCATTTTTAGACTTTTCTCACCATTTCCCCCACTCTTCTCTAATCTATACCATCTTCTCTAGTCAGGCTGGCTTCCTTCCTCTTCCATATCACACGAAAACCAAAGCTGTGCCTTCCCTCAGATTTAATATGCCTTGCCCTGCCTAATTATCCCAACCAAACTCATCATTCAAGGCTCAGTTCAAACCCCACCTCACTTACGAAGCCTTCCCTGAAAACCCAGAATCTCTTTTCTCTCAATTCCTACTCCTAGAGCACTTTGAGTTTATAAGCACACCATTTAAATTCTACCAAGTCTTGTGTGGTTCACATCTATTAGTCTTTTCCTTTCAATTATCTAATAAATGTAGCTAGTGAAGAAATATCTTGTCCTTCTGTGTCCTTCGCAACAATTAAAACAGAGAAGGGTGCATAGTATATGCTCAGTAGATATTGATTGATTGCTTTCAATGAGTGTTCACTAATTATTTTATGCATGTGTTGTTTTTCTCTCCCAAAGCATGAACATATTTTCCTTGAGGGCAAGAAACATCTTGCCTTCTCTTCTATTCCCCATAGGACCTAGCACAAGTCTTAGAGTACTCTGTAGGCCCTCACTAAATATGTGTCGACTTACTCTGGAGTTTGCCTCACACTCTTCCTAGCCAGAGGGGTCTTAATTCCCTGTTTTGGCACATTTACTTTTCACTTGAGTGATAAGAGAATGCTTTAAAGACAGAGGAGAAAGAGAAAATGAGAGAAAGAGAGAGAGAGACAGAGAGACAGAGAGAGAGAGAGACAGAGAGAGAGAGAGACAGAGAGAGCGTTACATCCTGGGAAGGGATTGGAAAGATATTTGGCTGGCTGCCTGTAGACCACTCTGGATTTATTCCTGCATTTGGACAGCAAGCCTATGTAATCCTTCACTCCCTGGTGGGCTCCTACTGGCAGCAGGATTTATTAGACTATGTCTTTGAGAGGGTTCATTGGGCACTTGAGCAGTAACAGCTGCTGGATCACTGGCTTCTTGGCTAGATGGAGAAAGAACTAGCTAGGTGGGACTGGAGTTGCTTTTAATGTCTGGGAAAACAATGCATCCTGTCATGTCTTCAGTATCATTGTGTAATCCGCTATTCCCCTGAGTGAATTTTTTAAGTAAGTAAAGTTTATCCATCAAGTGCAAAGCTTTAAAGAAAAAATTGAGCTTCCCCCCC